AACCGGGCTCAGCAGCCTCTATGGACATAATGTTAGCAAATGTCAGATGCCAGACCATTTCAGAATAACTGCCCCTTGGAGAAGTGGTTTACTGATGTCGATTACAGAGCAATATCTAGTGTCTAACATCTAAGTTTGTAACAGTAGCCAATAGTAACCAAAGACTAGCCATAGAAGAAGCACCCCTGAGTGTACTGAGGTGTGTTTTATTGTTTATGAATACAACTTTACATTTGTTTTCATTTTTGGTGTCCGACGTGCTGCAGTGAGCGTATTAACTCATTTCTGTTTCCGGTAGTGTGACCAGACGTCCCTGATTTTGGTGGCTTGTGCCCGTCTGGAGCTGTCCCCGAAAATGTCCCCGTTTTTAACTGTGTGTTGATCATAGACTGTATAACGTGTTAACAGACCTGAAATCAGCGTGGCCAGAAAACCTGGACAGCAGAGCAGGTGTTGTGCTGAAAAGTGATTGTCCACCGAAAAGTGATTGCCGTCCGCGGGAGCGTGCCCAGCATGTAACGTCTACAGCTACTTTTATCTGGATCAAACAGACATAACGTGCAAATAAACATTATGTCCGTGGTAACAGCAAAGGTTTGTCTTTGTGATGCGTTTCTTTTAATGGAATAATCACATTTGTGGCCAAATAAGTTTTTGCAGTAACAAGGCCTGACATTTACGTGATTATAGGCCATAACAGAAGCCTATGTCTTTGTTTATATTTGGAAAATGGAATGTAGCCTATAATTAACACGGCTCACTGCTGAGTTATAAAATAAAATAAAGACATGATCTCTTTTGTAATTAACCTTATGACTCTACATAATTTGCTGTGTACAACTGTTGAAATACCTTTAAACGGTCAGTACAACCCATGTAATGCAGTAATGCAGCTTCTAATTATTGACTGAAAGGTAGTTTCTGCCTCAAAATTACTTTTCTTTCCATTCAGAAGAGTTACAGATTATTAAACAGAAATTGTCCCCCTTTTTTATTTCATGTACTATAATAACATACTGACATATGATGATAACTTAATGACATACTGACCCCCAAACCAAAAACGTCCCCGCTTTTCATTTCAGAAATCTGGTCACCTTAGTTTGCGGTGCTTGTGTGCTGGTATTTTGCTTCTCTAACTGAAAACCAGTTAAATGTGTTAGATTCTTCTAATTATCCGCTACACACTTAATCTTACAGTAGTTTTGCTTAAGCACTTACAGTTTGTTCCATCTTTTAGCATCTGTCGCTAAATCTCAGCAGCTAACGCTACTGTACTTTAGCATAGCAGCTAGCAATGGCTTCTCCCTCTCCTGCTCTCTCCTGCTCTCTCCTGCTCTCTCCTCTGCCTCCTTTAGCGGTAATGGTACGTGTAATAAGTGTAGTTTATTTGTAGACATGGCGGCGATGCTCAGTGTTTTAGAAGTCCGGCTCCAGCCGCCACAAGCCGGGGCGGACTGACCTGAAGTAGCTCCTGTTAGCCGGGAAGCCAGGGAGGCTGGGTGATTGTCCAAAAGAGAAATACCCATAAGCATTAACTCACAGTTCAGCACCTACCTGTTCACATTTCTCCACTCAGCGACACACCCGCTAAGAAACCAACTCTGATTAGCGGCAGGTCCATTTTGACAAAGTTAGCGAAGCCAGCGGCCATAGTTAAGTGCATCCCTGGGGCCAGAGCGGGCGACACTGAGTCTTATTTAAAACTGCCGGCTCAGGATAAACGTAAATACAGCAAGATTGTTATTCACTCCCAATTAGGGCAATCGGAGGTCACTAAGATTAATGTTGAGTCGGTGTGTACACATGCAGAAACAATGTCGGACACCGTAGTTTTCTGCTCCATCCCACTTGGGAAGGAGCAGCTCTCATTTCTAGAAATCTGGCCAAGTTTGTTAGTGGACCAAATCCATGACAACCCAGAGTTGAGACCAGGAGGCATTTACTAGCCAAAACCGCATAAATTAATTAGATTAAAGTTATACAGAAGAAGAGCTGTGCATAAAACCCTAAGAAAAAATAATTTGCAGAGTTTTTGTCAAGTTCAGTCTTTAAAACAGGTAAAATTATTATTATAGGTGATTTTAATATTAATTTTGGATGTTAAGAATGGTAGCCTTAGTACTGTGGCTTCTCTCAGAGTCCATAAACCCACTCACTGATTCAACCTTGACCTTGTCCTGGTATCTGATATTTAACATTTACTTGTTTTCCCACAGAATCCCTCTTTATCTGACCACTATTTAATAACTTCTCGGTTCCTATTGCTGGACTACATGCCATTACTAAAATGTCTATAATAGCGCTCCAGCTAAATTTAAGGATGCGATTCCATCAGCTCTAAATTCATTATCTAGTCACAAAGTAACGGAGGACTCCTATGCTAATTTCAGTCCCTCCCAAATCGATCATCTTGTTGATAGTGCTGCAGGCTCGCTGCGAATGACACTCGACTCTGTAGCCCCTCTAAAAAAGAAAATACTAAAACAAAGACGGTTAGCTCCATGGTATAATACTGAAACTCGCAAATTAAAGCAAATATCGCGGAAACTTGAGAGGAATTGGCGTTCCACCAAAGTGGAAAATTCTCGTTTAATTTGGCAAGATAGTCTTAAAACTTATAGGAAGGCCCTCCGTAATGCCAGAGCAGCGTACTACTCGTCATTAATAGAGGAAAATAGGAACAACCCCAGGTTTCTTTTCAGCACTGTAGCCAGGCTGACAGAGAGTCACAGCTCTATTGAGCCAAGTATTCCCATAGCTCTCAGTAGTTACGACTTCATGAGCTTCTTTAATGATAAAATTCTAGCTATTAGAGACAAAATTCACCAAGACCTGCCCTCAACTGGCACCGACTTATCTCTTAACTCAGGAACCTTAGAAACAGCTGTAGAACCAGATACATGTTTAGACTGTTTTGCTTCCCTCAATCTTTACCAACTAACTTCAATAATTTCTTCATCTAAACCATCAACCTGTCCAGTGGTGGAAAGTAACAAAGTACAAAGACTTTGTTAGTGTACTTAAGTAGTTTTTTTCGGGTATCTGTACTTTACTTGAGTATTTTCACAGACCCAGTCCAGACATCTTTAGCAGGTCCCACAGAGCCAGGTGAAACCCATCCAGCCTCAGCCAGTACGAGTACAGCCAGCTCAGACCCTTGTGGAACAGTTGCTGCTCCACCAAATGACCCAGCTGATTGGCCCCCAGTCTGATCAGACTTCATGCGCAGAGGTCTGTTCAGACCAGCACTGGATTCTTCTAGAAGAGGTTTCTATTCGGGCTTCTTACAGAGGGAGGACTGTAGTGAGAGCTTTGTGGTGTCAGGTATCAGGTGTGACCGTGCAGCAGCTCTGCTTTTGTCGCAGCCGGTCTGTGACCGAGTGGTGACGTAGCTGGTCGAGTTTTGCATCTGAAAACTGAGGAGAACTTTGCTCTGTGTGGGACTGTGAGCTGCACTTTATGAGTGCTGAAGTTAACATGTGGGTTAGTTTTGGTTTCTGCCTCCTTGTCTCATCTTAACATCCCCAGAGTCCCAAATGGGGTTCTGGTCAGACGGTCTGAAGGGGAAACTACCACACCAGCAGAGCAATAACGCAGACTAATAGACCCACAGTAAAGGAAATATCCACTTATAATGCTGTATTCAAACCTGTCTTCAGTGAATTTAGAAAGATAGATTGTGTTAGATCAATTAGATCAATAGATTTTGATGTGTTGTACTTTTACTTTTGATTACTTAAGTATTTTTAAAACCAGGTACTTTTTTACTTTTACTTGAGTAACACTTTTCATGTGGTATCTGTACTGCACTGTCCTTCTTCCACCACTGAACCTGCCTCTTAGACCCCATCCCGACTAGGCTGCTTAAAGATGTTTTACCCTTAGTCAGCACTTCTATACTAGATATGATCAATCTATCTCTATCAACAGGCTATGTACCACAGTACTTTAAAGTAGCTGTAATTAAACCTCTTCTGAAAAAGCCCAAACTTGATCCGGATGTTTTAGCCAACTATAGACCTATATCTAACCTTCCATTTCTCTCTAAGGTTCTGGAGAAAGCAGTTGCTAAACAGCTGTGTGACTTTCTACAGAGAAATAGTTTATTTGAGGATTTTCAGTCAGGATTTAGAGCTCATCATAGCACAGAGACAGCACTGGTGAAAATTACTAACGACCTCCTTATTGCATCAGACAAGGAGTGCCTGAGACTGCACTAAGTACTTGGGACAGCAGCCCTGAAAAACCGCTTTGGGAAACCCCAGCAGAAACAGCTACAGTAAGCTGGAATGACTCAGACACCAGGAAATGCCAGCAGATCGTGCTACAGGAACAACAGGTGCTATCTTGCACTTTCACACTTCACATTCTGCGTGCACGCCGTTAGTAGATCAGCTTACGTGTTTACGTTTTTACTTACGCAGACCTTTAGGAAATCTGGCCCCAAGTGTACTTTCAGGATGTTAAAACCTGGATGAGCTGTAATTTTCTTATGTTAAACTCAGATAAAACTGAAGTTATTGCTCTGGGCCTAAGCACCTCCGTGACGCATTATCTAAAGATATAGTTTCCCTGGATGGCATCGCCTTGGCCTCCAGCACCACTGTGAGGAATCTTGGAGTTATCTTTGATCAGGACATGTCGTTTAAGTCTCACATTAAGCAAATTTCAAGGACCGCCTTTTTTCACCTACGTAATATTGCAAAAATCAGGAACATCCTGTCTAAAAATGATGCAGAAAAACTAGTCCATGCATTTGTTACTTCTAGGCTGGATTACTGCAATTCCTTAATATCAGGCTGAAAAAGTCCATTAAGACTCTTCAGCTGATCCAGAATGCTGCAGCACGTGTTCTGACAGGAACCAGGAAAAGAGATCAAAGCTATTTCTTAATCTGCGTTCTTGTCTGTACTTGTGTTCTTTCCTGTCTATCCAAGTACAGTCAAATACCTGAACGCCCATTTTACAAAGCCTTAAGAGGGTTTTTTGCGTGAATATAATGTTTTGAACTGGTCTTGTTTGCTTTAATAATTCCTCCTGATCATAATGACCATGAACAGACCTCTTCCTAATGTACTTTTAATGCAAGTCATGCACAGCATGCAAAAATGCATTCAAAAGTTTATCTGAAGTTAATATGAATCTTCAGCAGTCCAAGTTAGCTACAGTCTTTTTAGTACACAATTCCCCCTTTTTGTTACTATCCTTCGGCAGCAGCTAAATTGGGAAACATTGTTCAGCAAAAAAACAAAGAGGATTTCTTAAAATGAACACAGCAAGCAAAACCTGTTTCAGGGTACCTGTCTATTTTTTTAACACAGACTTGTGAAGCTACCATTTAAAGTAGACATTAAATACATGTCTAAATGATCTCGCTATGTCAAGATAACACATTTCACCTGTTTACTCTGAGGGATCAAGCTCAAATTAAGCTATGCTTTTCAGAAACACTGGTATGGTCCTTTTTGAAGTTTGTGAACTGAAGCTTTTCCCAGCATGCAGTTCACTGGTCCATCACATGAACTCATATTCTCTCTTGCAGGCAATTTAAGGTGTTTGCGTAGAAAGCAAAACCCCATAAACAGGAGAAGAACATGTAAACTCCACACAGGGAGCAGCATGTTGTGAAGTGACCGTGCTAACCACAGAGCCACCTTTACAAGGGTGGATTTTTCACGTCAGTGTTGCTGGGGACAATCAAACTAGAAGGGAGGGTCTGAAAAAGATAGGCAACAGACCAAACCACTGTGAGGCATATGGGGGAAAGAGGGGGCAAAACCTTTTAAAACTTAATAACTAATGGGACTCAGAGTAACGGTGCGATCCATTAACCTCAGAAGTCGGAGTTGGGAATGACATCACTCCCGAGTTGACGCGTTCCAGTCAACAAGCCGGAAAACCTCGTTTGGCCAGCCGTTGTTCACAACTAGCCAGCCACAAAGTCGGGGTAGTGCGGTTCCACAATTCGGAAATTCAACTTTCCAACTTTGAACTTGGAAATTCGGACTTCCCACGTCAAATGGAACGCACCATAAAGAGCAAGAGCCGTTAACTGGTTTTGTACCGAATACATTCACTAGACGCTGATTGGATCATAATTATTGCTACGGTAGCTATTGGTAGTGACAGTTCTATGCCCTTGCACATTTACATGATCACATGAAGGCATCTTGAGAAAAGTCAAAGACTGTTTTCTAGATGAGAAACCCGACATCAGGGTTATAAATGAAACCTCTGGGTCTGATAAAACCGTGCCGATATGTGACACTATTACTGGCTGAAGATAAAAAATAAAATAAATAAAACTTTCTGTGTGTATATTTTTGTGTCCTGTTTTGTTTTGGCTGTGTGTCATAGTTTTCACACCACAATGAGGTTGCATTTAGGGAATATTCATAAACTACTGATCATTTCACTCCTGTCAATCATCCTAAGCAGTATGTCTGCTTTTATGTGTATCCATTAGCCGCATACCCGTTGACTTGGCTTTTATCAGTTTCAGTATCTGACTGGGTTAAAAGAGTGTTCTCTTTGTCTGATTGGCTGGCAGCCAGCCTATCATGCTCTGCCTTTGCCTTCATGAGGTTCCTACGGTGATAAACCAGATAGCCCGGCAACAGGAAGCCAACCAGCGAGAAGATGAGAAGGGCCAAATTGATCTGTTGTAAGGAGAGACATGTTAGTACATGTGACAAACCTGTTATGTGTATCTGCATGCACCTGTCTTCTCTTTGAGTGTGTGTGCATGTGTATGTGCGCCCTACCCAGTAAGGATCCCCACTCAGGTGTCCCAACATCAGTATGAACAGTGGCTGTTGGAGCAAGGCGAAAGCAGCACTGATCATCGACTGCATGCCCGTCAGTGTCCCAAAGTGGTTGGCTGGATACCTAAACCGGGAGGGGAGATAGAAATGATTGACACTGAACAGCAGAATAAAAAAGATTCACAGTCAAAATATACTAAACCTCGCATAATATGATGACCAAAGACCAGTTCCACTGTAGATGCTGTAGACCAAAGTGTGGTGCACGCACCCCTGAGCTGCGCGACAGGAAAAATGTAATGGTGATGTAGTACTGCAAGAACTATTATTATTACTATTATATGCTATTATACAAATCCTCATATGGATCCTCTTTTTGTCCTTGTTATCTGTTTATGAGGCTATAACAGGGTGTAATTTGTAAAAAAAACGGAGGGGGGATGTTTTGAAACATATTATTGTTTTTGTCATGAAAATAATACGCCCCCACCTCCTTCCCACGCAGGTGAACTGTGGATTGACTTCAAAGTTTAACCATCACAGTAAGAGAAAAGGTTTTACTGCCTTTTTGTAAAGTAATAAATTTGTAACGTTACGTCGCGATGCAGAGCTGCAGTGAACAGAAGACAGATGCATGCTGTGAGTGAAACCCTGCAGCTGTGACATCGCGCATGTTCACTGGTGTAACGCAGACACTGCGCCGCTCGTCATCATGGAAACAGATCATCAGATTTGGATGTTTATTGCACCTTCAGTTATATCGGCTTCCTTCTCTTCAACACTCACCAGAGCAAAGTGTTCATAGGCTATTATTTGCGACTTGGAACCAATCAGATAGAGCTGTGGGCGGGACATTGAACAAATAAGTAAATAAGTTTATCTATATATCTATATATATATATATATATATATACACATAAAGGGCATGTATTCATAACCAGTTGGCAGTCCAAGATATGTTATTGTGCAGTTAGTCTGAAAATTGATTCAGCAGCATCAGACGACACTCAGACTACAATGCAGTTTGTGTGGATTACTTGCTTGTTGAAGCAGCACTGCTGCCTTTTCCCTGGCTGACCACATTTAATGAGTTAAATGCTTATTTTAAAGTCGTCTGTTTTGTACTGGCCTATACAAATGTAAACCTGCTTTAATCCATTTTTTGGCCACTTGGGCATTACAAGCTGTAAACATAAAACCGACATACTAGTTGCGTTTTGACTGAAGCATGCAATGGACCTGTCTGATCTTGCGATCTAAGCTCATGCACTCTACGGGAGTTAAAATGTGTCCGACATGACAGCAGTGGTTTTTTTCCCCACCCCTGCAATTGCCTGCAGCTCACGTTTGAGTATCAAGTTGGTGAAAGTCAGCCGCAGCCATCTCGCATGCACATATTGTCACCTTAAAAGTTGTGTTAACATGTTGCACAACAAACACACCCAGAGCAACATTAAAATGTGTTTAGAATCACGTTTCTGGCTATCTGAAGTCCAATATGCATCCTCTTTTAAGCTCTCTTTGGGCTTCCACCAACTCTTGCAACACATGTCGTATTACAGTCATTTCAGATCCTTTGCTCATAAAAAAATCTTTATTAGTTCCGTGGTGTTACTCACACAGCAGCATAAAGACCTCCACAGCAGGAGTGGATAAATCCTCTCACTACGGTATGCAGAACAAACGACACCACCTAATAAAGAAAGAAAGACAAATTTATAAATGATTATCAAAAATGTCGCTGTGTGTCTGTAAATGCATATGCCATGCTGTAATAGCAGATCTTTGTATTCCTGTTCAGTATTGTTCTAACCTGTATGGGCAGGTTGTCAATCAAGGAAATAATTCCAAAGGTGACCAATAGGAGGTTGGTGAAGATGAAAGCTCTTGTGGCATTGGTCAGTTTCTGGATTTTTCTGTCTCTCTTTGGGTTATCTGATTGGCTGAGGGGAACAAATAAAAGGATGCAGAAGTAGGAAAATATGCTTTTATCTTCATCTTTTAGACTATAGTCAATGAAGTGACCTTTCCAGGGCCAGCGTCGTCAGCAACCAGTAACTCTCCCAATATGTGAGTATTGAATTCAAAGATAAACCTGCAGTAATCGTCTAGACTGCTGTCCAACAATGTATAATTGTACTGCAGCAACACAATACCTAAACCTAAAGAGAAGCCACTGCACCCTCTTCATACCTCTTAACTGTTTGTGTGTTTGCATTTTCCTCTTTACACTCGGCCATCCTCCAGTCCATGATGTAGCCGATCAAAGGACAGGTCAGCAGACACAGCAGCTGCATTGTACCGAAGATAGATGAGTAGAAACCAACTGGGGAGGGCACGCAGCGACAGAGTGTCCGTAGTCCATAGAAATGCATGGAGAGAAATAATTAGGAAGAAGATAGAAGACTCTACACACAATCCATGTTGTCAAGGCTGTGATCAGGATTTTACAAATGAGTTTATGAAACCAAAATCGTTTCATTTCCCAATATGAAGGTCTGAACGGTGTTTCAAAGCCTACTCCACATTGCTGGGAAGACAGCTCGGATGGAGAAAACATGGCACCATCCGTCAAAACATTTGATTAACTCCACTGGTCTTCTAAAGCCCATCAGCCCAGTGGACAGTGGTCAAATGTTACCATGAGGACAGGCTCTTAATGAGCATCTTGACTCTTACCTTGTTCCTCCACCTCCTTCTGCAGCTCTTCTGAGGCTGAAAGAGACAACAGCTGCAGGTCAGGCTTCACCACAGGTAGTTTAATACAAAGTCTAATGAGTTGTTTGAATCTAGTACACAACATTTATGGCAACATCGAATTGCTTCACCTAGAATTTTCTTCATTGGTGACAAAGAAAACGATGCATGAACCCTTAATATATTCTGGCTCTGCGGTTCTACGGAGACGGGCTGCAGCGTCTGCAACGTAATCCTTGGGGACTGTCGTGGCCTCCATTTGCCATGTGTGGAACATTTGAAGCCAGCGCATGAAAATCCAAAACCTTTCACATCTCTCTCTCTCTGCGGCTTGATTCCCTCCGCTAAGCCCCTCCCACCAAACCCACAACAAGGAGCTTTTTGCCCTGGAAACCTCATCCCACATAGGACTCGCTCTCCACGCCATGACCACCGTCCCTCTCGCTTCGACTCGTCTTCTCAAAGAAGACACTGCCCAGGCTTCAGAGGCAGCTGCAACAACATCTAACAGCAGAATGAGAGGCCAGTACACCACTGCCCCCCCCCCCTCAAAAGGTGGTCCTCACTGTTTGTCATCATGCCTCTTTGCCAGTCGTTGATACGAGCGCCACGGCATCGAATACAATGAGCCCGAAGCTCCGTGTGGCAAAGTAAGGGTGGGCAGTTCTTTCTTTCTGCTGGGTGTTTCTCAGAAATCGGTTTGCAAAACTTCTATCGCTGAGCTGAAGATGTCGAGCTGTGTGAGAGCGTGTCGAGGAGGGCTGTGCAAATACACCAGTCAAAGTAGTGAAGGTCCGATAAAAGTGACGACATGATAGAAAATGCATTCCTGTAGAGATAGCAGATAAAAAACTAAACAAAATTAAACTCTGAATGAAAAGTGTCTTTGTTAGTCGTTCTGCAACAAGTGGTACTTAAAGTAAAGATTAGACCATTGTTCTTACGGTTGGGGTCGCCATGGGTGACCAGGAACTCCAGCATCTTGTTCATGGCACCCATGAAGAAGATCAGCCTTAGCTGGGTCATTGCCATGGTGATGACACTCCACAGGAAGATGGGAGAGCACATCGAATGACAGAGCGGCACTGAGCCTGAAGATGGAGAGAGAGAGAACGTGTGAAAGTTCAGTTAGAGAACATCTCAGATAGTCTTGCGGTTTTCAGACAATTTTGTTATAATACTATTTGCAGATTATTCCCAGAATGCACTATAAATGTGCGCTTGTCCCTCATGCATTGTTAAATGTCCCAGCCTGTTTTCTGTGTCTTCACACACCTGTTTTTGGACAGTCTACCTCTACCCCGTGTAAAGCACTTCACCTTTTGTTTATTTGAAATAAACACTTTTAACTGCATCGGCTCTGCAATATTTTGTGTCCAAATATTTCTTTCATGTGTCTAAACTGGGCACTAACATGCGAAGATGAAAAACAACAAAAGTTACCGTTTTTTTTCTTCATGTGCTAAGATGCAAAACTGAAGCCGCTTTGTCAAAACTCTTCACACAGTCTGCATTAGCAGCGTGCATCATGGCCAAACAGTTAACCTCACCTCCAAACGTCACTCAAACCACCAAAACACTTCATACAAGCCTCTAAATAAACCCGTTCAACCAAAACACTGGCAACAAGTCTCACTCAGAAAGCATACTCTGACAACAGGGAGCATCACATAAATCTGATGAACTTTTATCCTCGTGACTGATTTCTTTTCATGTAAATCAGTATTTCAACATAGAATCCAGTTGTTCTCAGTCACTTTGGTGCATTTCTCAGATTGTTCAACCTCCACATCATCTAGTCACGTGTGCACTTCATATGTAAAAGCAATTTCTCAGTCTTTTGTGAGATTGCAAAGTGCACATGCTTTGACACATTTATGCAAATGATGCACAACTGTCTGCTGTTTCCTACATTACCAATTGCTCATGTCATGTTGATCACAATGTATTATACTGGTGAAATAATATCACAGTTTTTTGTCCTGCATCACAATGACATGCTCTGTCAACAAATTACAGTGCATACAGTAAAAGTGTGAATCCTGCAATGTGTAACTCTGGACTGTTGAAACTGGTCTATGCCAGACAGAACAAGTGCAGGCTTGTGCATTTTCAATCATTGTCATCAAAACTTTAGCCATAGTTTACCAGTTAGTTGCAAATGTTAAGGATGATTCTGGAAATGTACCAAAGCGACTGAGAGAAACTGTAAGAATACCATATTTTCACTTTATTGACTGTACTTTAGTATATGTAACAAGAATGAATCAGGGATGCTTCAATATCCTTTTTTTTCTACGTCACTGCATTCAGTAATTCTGAAATTTCAGTGCTGCAATTCAGTTTTTCTCAGTAGTTTACACAGCAAAACGGGTACCTGAGACACAAAGACCAACGCCTTGAACCAACGCCTGCATACATTTCTCTACGCACGTAGACGTAAACATTCTGCTTTCAGTCTGATTACTGCAGGATATTTGCAGTCACTCTGTTTTCAATGTGTTTTCAACAGTTTTGGACTCAGTGTGTGAAAAATGTGCTGCAGATAGAGAGTTGAGAAAAGCGCTGAATGCATTTTGTGTGAAAGCAATGAAAAATGATTCACAGTTTTGTCCACGTGCACTTCTGTTCAGCTGACTGTGTGAGGAGTTTTGATAATGCGACTTCAGTTTTGTCCAGTGCAGGTTAGCAATTGAAAAAACAGTAATCCAAAATCAGTGGCACAGTATGTTATGTCTGTGCATAGTGTTTCATGTTAACGTCATGTTAATTAGAGTGCTTTTCTGTGCTCCAGTTGAGAGGGCAATGCAAAGCCACCGTCAGCATCATGTCCACATCGCAGCCTTGTGATTGACTGGTGACCTGTCCGGGTTCGCCCCCTGCCTCTTGCCCAGTGTCAGCTGGGATCAGCTCCAGTCCCTCGGCTTGTGGTATAGACAACAGACGGACTTGCAAATGAAATGAAATGACATGGAGTACTGCTCATCCTGTCTGGAGGACCCTTGTCAAGCCTAAAGAAACAACCCCGATGATGTAATCAAAGCGAATACAACAAAAATGAAACGCTAACAGCAATGTTCCTTACCCTGGGTTGCGCTTTGGGAGTCTGCCTGCTCGGGTTCTGGCTGCTTGGCTCCCATCCTGTCTTCCATGACAGTCACATGGGTGATGCACCTGTCTCCAGTCGTCTCGTCCTCTGTCACAACCATGTCCAGCTTCACCTTTTTACTGAGGACGGAAGAGAAAGCGACTAAGTATAGTAAGACCTCTAAAATAACTACAACTACAAAACAGCTATACTCAAGTGTTCAGTTGTCTTAGTGCATGTAGTGCGTTGAGATCCTGTCAGACATTCAGAATTAAAATGATTAGAGTTGCTGAACTGGAAAAGTATGTGCTATGTTTTAAATTGTAGCGCCTAAGCAATTTTGAATGGAACAGCTTGTGGACAATGTTATTCTTAATTCTAGTAGAGCATGATGAGCATCAGGAAGGTAACCATGAGGATAGTAATGTCTGAGTGTGGCCAGTTAATCAATATGTTTTAAGAGTTTTAATCATGATTGAGTGTGCCTTGCCACAGAGAAGCTAAAACAATCTGACTGCAGCATGTAGGGTGTACTGACGTGTATCTGATGTCTTCAGGTGCAGGGAAGGATTCAGCAGGCCAGTTTAGGAAGCAGTTGAGGAAGACCAAGCAGGCCATACCAGACCAAACCCACATGATGACCCGGAACGACACGCCAAGGTCATAAATTACCTGGCGAGGAGGGGAAGAGGGCAGGTTAGGAGGGGCAGATAGAGGAGGAATGAGGGTAGGGATGAATAGAAGAGAAGGGGGCGAAGAAAAACATGTTAAAAAGTACCTCAACATGTTGTAAAGTTAACCTTAGTGCATCGTTCTAATGTCTAACTTGAACTGCTGCTTAAAGGTCATCACTGAAATCCCACTGTAATCTCAACAGTCCTGGAATTCTGTTATTAGATCAAGAAAATAGACAGTTGGAAATAAATGTTGCGGAATATTTTATGGTAAAACTGCACCAGCAAGTCAGTGACAGCAGTCTTTAATGCGCCAGCAGTTCAAGTAGATTTGTGCGTGTGTGTGCGTGTGTGCGTGTGTGCGTGTGTGCGTGTGCACCTTGACACCAGGGAAGGTGACGGCTGAAGAAGCGTAGGAGCCAATCATCAGGGAGAGGACGGTCGATCGTACGTTCCCAAACATGTTCGGCAGCTAGGTGAAAGAGAGAAAGACAACTTTGATAATATCAAATGTATAAATAAATCATGTCAGTCAGCAGTAAATGTAAAAAGGTCCTATACTGTGTGAACACTTAAGACAAATGTAAGCATCAAAACGTTTCGGTCCAGCGACCAGGGGGACCTGTTGGAAGCGACGCATCCCACTTTTGCTCCCGAGTTAGCGACCAAATCTGTACAATTTATGTTCTGAAACTACATACATTTTTAGAAGACCTTGAAACTACTTTGCTCAAGTTTGGGAAGCTTAGTTCCACGATGTAGTCGACCTTCTCCTGAGTCACTCCCACCTGTGGCAAACGTTAGCTGTCTGCAGAGCTGATGGGGGCTCCACTGCTCTTAGATCAGAGATGTCTCTAGTGACACGGCCTCCTGGATCTTGATTTCAGGTGGTGATTTAAACTGTTGGTTAGATCCACACTCAGAACGATCCTCAACAAAACCTACTGCCTCAACAACCTCAGCCAAGACTGTCAAAACCGTCATGTCTGAATTTGCAGTCACAGATCCGTGGAGGGTCTTCAAATCCATCTGGAAAAGCTCATTCCTTCTTTTCACTGGTTACGCGCACAGACTTCTTTCTGGTATTGGGATGACAGCTTTGCCATATCCTGACATTCATAAAGAACACTTAATTCCTCAAGCACAATGTGACACATCACTAACAAATCAGGTGACAGACCTACTTGTTAAGTCTAGGAGCACTTACCACGAGCAAGGAGATAAATCTAGTAAATTGTTAGTCCATCAATTGTGCCAACCATCACTGTCGCATCAGATTCCTAAAACCAGCACATCCTCAGGAATAACATTTGATTCTGAGCAGGTTAATGACTGAGTTTGAACTTTTTTACCAGTCTCATAGACCTCTGAGAATTAAGTAGATGTGACTGAATTGGATGACTTCTTCTATTCCCTTCAGTTGATCAAAGCCAGGTCGGTAAAATAATCAATCTATAACTATCTAAGAATTGTGCTATCTCATAAAACTCTGTGGAGTTTTTACCCCGCACACTCACTCATGCTACCATCTGTCTTATTCTTAAAAAGTCAAAGAACCCCTCAATCTGTCTTTGTGTCTACGTGCCACAGTCCAAGATACCAAAAACTAGCTGTAATTAAACCTCTTTAAACTTTAGCTTACTGGCTTAAATTGCTTTGTATGCGGATGATCTATTATACATGGCTGTCTCCGTCCTTGCTATCTTGCCACGCTTGCGTCTTATGGTCAGGTATCAGGATAGAAGCTTAACCTCTCTAGATCTAGGATTTGCCAACGTTAGGTTAAACCAATCTCAGAGTAATACAGTATTGGTTGTCTCGTCTAAACCAGGATCAGCACCTTCCCTTGTTCACTCCACCATTACAAACGCTTTCTTCTACTTTACTGAGTAACGTGTTACTGCCCAACACTGGAAATGGTCTTATACAATGTAAAACCATTCATAGGGTTCAATAGACTACAACAAAACTATCTAAAATACACAAAGAAATGCAAGGGCGTCAATTTGGGGACACATGGGCTCCGGTTAGGGTTGTGAAGAGACAATTAGGTCGCGAGACATCGCAAGACACGAGACGAAAAGATCCTTAAACAGTGTTTTAAAGATATCCTCAATGCCGAGCTATATGAGCGGGGGTCTGTGGGGGACCTCCCCCTGGAAATTATTAAAACACTTCATTTCCAACTTATGGTGAAAGTTTGTGCACCAATTTATGGTGGAAATGTTTTTATTTCTGATAAAAGAAACACAAAATTCATTTGAAACTATATAATAGAATCTAAGTCAGTGCAGCTCTCAGTCATTCTGTGCTGCTTTCAGATCTGTTTCAGAAGTTTTCTCTTGTAGGCATGATTTATCATCAGTAATCAGTAGCTTGTTTTTTTGTGCTTAAGTTACTTTTGAACAATGCACATTTGTTTCTTCTATATTTTAAGTTTTTTAGTTTTCTTCATGTGCAAATAAAACGTTCTAAATGCATTTTCATTTATTATTATTATTATTAACACTTTTTAACAAATTATGCTTTCAAAATGTGGTTTCAAAATGTTATTTTTCTGTTGTCTTTTTTTTCTTCTCTTCATCTCTTCTCTTCTTTTCTAACATTATTATTACCACTGCAGTTATTTACTTTAATTGGAAGTTGTACTTAGTTATCTGTGATTCAAATGCACTTTAAAAACTCAACCAGCAGGCAGCGCTACTGCATTCTTATAAACACAAGCACTTCATCTGATGGGTGGAAGAAGAGATGATTAACGCCCACACACACACACACACACACACACACACACACACACACCCAGCAAAAATTGATTTGATTTGCCTTTATTGCCCCAGAGTTTGGTTTGCAAACGGTAGTCAGTACACATCATAAAGCAAATAACTTAACTGAAGACATTTTAACATACAATAGATGTTATCAGCATGCAGCAAAACTACTCTGAGACATGGAGCACTGTGTCTCCTTCAGACCTGTATTAGAGTATATATATATATGTGCAACAGCTGACGGGACAAATGATCTCTGATATCTGTGTGATTTGATCCTCCTAGGGAAAGTGTACCTCTTCCCTGATAGCATAAGTCAAAACTCTGCAAGAAGAGGATCCACCAGAATGGCCTTTGACCTCTGAATGGCTCTAACTTGACAAACATGGTCAAGAACAGTCAAGTTAGTGCCCATGGTCTCTTGGCAAAGTTTAAGAATCTTTTCCAGCCTATTTCTGTTAAGCATGCTGCCAAACCAGCAGGTCAATCATGGCAAGGCAGCAACATGTGTCATCGTTATTTTGAATGCAAACTCTAAAAGCATGTGGTCTAACTCTCTCTCTCTCTCTCTCTCTCTCTCTCTCTCACACAGCCGCTATGTGTCCGTCACCCATTTTGCCATGACAACTTGACGTGTGTGCATGTGAACATTCTCTGGCCATGCAGATGGTAAGTTTTGTGGCGGTGTGGTGTGTGTGTGTGTGTGTGTGTTCGTACAGACTTTCACTCTAACTATAAATGCAACTGGAGCACGGCCAATCACACAGCACGCTGCATGTGGCTCTCTGAACACTACAGGCCTTCCTTGTCTGTGGACGATTTGATAGTCCGTTTCTTCATTTGAACCACAAACAAAGAAAAAGCACCGTACCAGGGTAATGTTGGAGGAAAACGTAATAAATAGACCGAGGGAAGTATGTTAAAAATCCTCTACACTATGTACCACAGTGCTTTAAAGTAGCTGTGATTAAATCTCTTCTTAAAAAGCCCACTTTTGATCCAGGAGTTTTGGCCAACTATAGACCTATATCTAACCTTCCATTTCTCTCTAAGGTTCTGGAGAAAGCAGTTGCTAAACAGCTGTGTGACTTTCTACAGAGCAATAGTTTATTTGAGGATTTTCAGTCAGGATTTAGAGCTCATCATAGCACAGAGACAGCACTGGTGAAAATTACTTACCTTCTAATTGCACTTGTCTTGTTAGATGTTAGTGCTGCATTTGATACAACTGACCATCATATCTTATTACAGAGACTGGAACATTTCATTGGCATTAAAGTGTCGCTCTAAGCTGGTTTGTCTCAAAATGATGCAGAAAAACTAGCCCATGCATTTGTTACTTCTAGGCTGGATTACTGCAATTTCTTATTATCAGCACTGCATGAAAAGTGGGATTTTCGGCAGGTAATGGCACCTTAAATTACCGTGGAGGTTCAGGTTAACGGCTACTAATTTATTGTATTTTTGGCCAGCGCCGACAACTGTCGGGAACTGTCTGTAATTGACGTGGATTTTGTTTGTCAGTGTTGCCAGAGGAGGCTTTCACATGTAAATGAAAATGCTGTGAGCTCTCAGGTAAGAGGTGACACATTTTCAAGTCTCTTTATTTGTTAGCTAAGAGTATTACTAAACAGACACTGAGAGAGGTGGCACAAGTAATTGGAGGTGTTTTTACAGAGTGCAGAGAATAGTTGGAGAAATGTGACGTGCAGGATGGAACAGGAGAGACCAAAAAAAACCCATATCAAGACTTAGATTTGGACACACTGAACTAAACAGCGGGAAGAAACAGCAGAGCATGTTATGTTACCCTGTCAGAAGCATGAGGAAGAAAGAGGGCAGCTGGTTCAAACCCTCAGAATGATTAAAGTACACTTTAATAACTAATTAATTAATAATGAATCCATTAATAACTTAGATGTGGTCAAGCTAATAGCTTTCTAAGTTGTATTTCTGCTGATTGTTTTGTTTTTGTTCCCATGATGCACTGAGCTCCTCTCTCCTCTAATGAGGCAGATGGCCGCCCACCCTGAGTCATGGTTCTTCTCGAGGTTTCTGCCTCTTAAAAGGAAGTTTTTCCTTGCCTCTGTTTCCCTGGCAGCTGTTGCAGTAATCCGGGCGAGATGCTATAAAGGCGTGTCGGATCGTCTGAGGGTCCTTAAAAGTTAACATCGATTGTATTTTTGATATATTTCTAAGATGGTAAAAATATGTATATAACTTAAATTACTGTCGAACCAGACGCCAAGATTCTTTGCAACAGGCCTGATATGATTCACCAGGGAACCAGCAGATGGCAGTATTTGCTGCATTCCGACCAGGATCTCTGTTTTGTCACAAGGAGGAAATTATTTTAACATCCATTTTTGGACTTCACAGAGGCAGTCGGTAAGTGAACTCAGCATTCCAGGGTCTGTGGATCTGACCGGCAAATACATCTGCGGGTCAAGAGACACCATGTTTCTCAATGATTACGTCCAAAGGGAAGCAGATACAAGGAAAATAAAATGGGTCCTAAGACCGACCCCTGAGGCACACCATATTTAACCGAACAGAATGAAGAGACATAGTTATTCTCAGACACACAGAACCTCTTCTTGGACATGTAGGATGAAAACCATTCTAAAGAGCTGGCAGATATCCCCACCCGGTGCCTCAGTCTGTCTAACATGATGTTGTGGTCAGTGGTGTCGAATGCAAACCAGATTGAAACTTTTCAAATATGTTGTTGCTTTCTTGTGCAGATGTGGACATGGGGTAATATAAAGGAGGGAGTCTCTCTCTTTAGGTTCCTCTGAAAGCCGTTGGACGTCTTCCTTAATGTCAGCAGTCTTTTTGTTTGCTTGTAGTACATCCTCGCGGGGCATAGTTCGCAAAGATGTTTGGATTAAAACTGGATCAAAATCAGGTTTAAGGTAGAGACAGGTGTGTACAGACGCCAACGCAAGCACGTTTAGTAACCTATTTCCTTCAGCTCAATCGCTTTGTATTTTTTAATTGATAAACACAATCTATTAACATGTCTATTTTTGAAAGCATCCTTACTTCACAGCAGATTTTCACACTTAGACTTTTGCACAAAACTGTGTAAAGCTACAGAACGTCTGCCCTCATTTTCAGTTACGTGTCCGCCGGTCATACGCTACCTCCTTTCCTTTTAATTAAAAAGTGGTAATAACTTTAGTTGTAGTGGTGGTAATAACAGCAGTGGCAGAAGTAGAAGTTATATAATTTATTGTTCTCCTATGCTGTAATGTGAAGATGTTGATAACCAAATACCTGTTCGTCTCTCTGTCTACAGTCCTCAAGTTCAACTAATGTCACACCTCTTTCTCTCTCTCCTCACTAATGTTTCCACATTGTTGAAGCCTGGCTTCCACCCGTGTTTTTCCATTCTTATCTTCCTTCCCCTCTGTGCCATGGATCCCTCTATCCATCAGCTGGTCCATCTGTTCTCGCTTTGAGTTCTCAAAGCCTGCTTCTTTTTATTTTAGTCATTCTTGTGCACTGCTGTAGTTTGAGAGAAGAACGCATTATGTGAAAACCCATCAACATGAAGTTCTTCCAACAGCTACAAACCGAGGGCCCAGTATACCTGCATTTGTTCAATTTTAGTGAGGCGTGGAATCATCTAATATGTGTTCAATTCTTAGCATATTGGGCTGGTGCAGAGTGAAAGATCTGGACATATACGAGATGGATTGCCATTCATAGCACAGGGTGACATGGGTTTACCATCCCATCTCGTTCCCAATATAAAAACATCAGAAAATAGCGTTTATTTATATTAGAAAAGCATAAAGCATAAAAACAGACCAATGATTATGATGATGATTCTAATTCATGCTACCCATAGAATGAATTATTATATTTGCTTGTCCAGTGAATATTTTGACCTCTTGAAGATGGATTGGCACAAAAGTTTGTAGATACTAATGCTTAGCGAGAGAATAAAATGTTGGTGATCCCCTGATTGTTCATCTAGTGCCATAATCAGGTCAATATTCAGGTTTGTCCAGTTCTTTGGTTTGGTTTAATATATAATAATAAAGTAATAAAAATAATTAAAGTAATATATAATCCCTGCAAAACTAATTAAGTGTTTAGTGCTAATTTGCAAATGGATGCTAAACTAAGATGCTGACCATGGTAAACATATCTGCTGAACACCACCATGTGCCAGTATGTGGTCAGCACAGTGTGACAGAGCCACCAGAGTGGCTGAAAATGTTCAAGGCTTTCTAAAAATGTAATAAGGACAATACTGACCCCTGCTAAGATATCTGGAAACGGGAGATTTAAGCTTGTGTGTAGGAGGATTAAAATACCCCTGGTCAGTCAGACACCAGACCAGGAAAAGGGAGGAAGAGTGAGAGAGGGGGTGGTGGAGAGGGTTGACAAGGGGACAGGGCTGCGGGAGGGTGTGTTGACCAGCCATGTTTTGGATTGGCTGAGAGGCCGCAGCAGAATTTAGAACAAGTGGAACAGCATGTGCTTCTCTCCAAAACACACGCTCGCGCACAGAGAGCAGTCAGAACCGCACACACAATGTGTTGGAACATGAATGTGAACTTTCTGGTTGTGTATGCACCAGACAGAAAATCCACAGCCAAGCACAAAACTGCTGCTCTGCTTGCTTTAGGTTGAAATCTTCAAACCATGACACTTCTGGCCACAGCCCAGTCTGTGATGTCACAGCAGGGGTTTTGACCTTGACAGAAAGATGGAAAAGCGGGTATATGAGGTCAGTCTGTCACAGCAGTCTGTGCAAAGAACAGTGTCGCTGTCCAACGTCCAGTCAGCAGGGACCTTCATCCCCTACGTCCCTGTCTATGTGCAGCGCAGGATATATCCTTATTTAGTTCAACATTAATATTTACAATAACAGAAATATCTTATGTTATTGTTCTGTTTCACCAAAATGTCAAAGAGGACTGAAAGCTTCCTCCTCATCATACTACTAAAAAGTAGGACAACTGCAGTGAAGCAGTTTACATTGTTAAAGCTGCATTGATTATATTTTTTGGCCTCTTGGTGGCATCACAACAAAAAATAAAAACAACCTTTACATATTATTACCGTATAACTAGTGTCATTATGAGACTAGTCATAACAGACATTCTGCAGATATCAGATGCAGATACAAACAAGCCAACCGATTAAAATAATGACTTTTGCTTCCACGATCAACAGATTTTCTCTGACATAAATGTCATAATGCAAACAACAAGGTAAATGTTGGTTGATTGATCTACTGGGCCAAATCTCTGAGACACCGAAATGAAGTAGAGGAAGGAGGATGAATTCACAAAGATTGGGCAGGCAGGATGAAATTCAAAAAAAGCAGTGGAAGCATGTGAGCTCACTGTTTGTATAACAGTGTAAATCTGCTGTCCCCTCAAAATAACTCTCTCTGGTCTCTGGTACTTGTGCAGTGTAATGTACATGTATGGTGTATGTGAAAGTAAAGCCCACATTTACCGGTGTTTACTGCAGCCTGATGCGGCACTGATGTCCAAGACAAATTTCCATCAAATACAGAGAAAGTAACGACACATTTTGCAAAAAGTATTAGTTCAGTACATTTACATGTGTCAGCATGAAAGTAATCAAACTTTTCTGCACAAAACAGACATTCTGTAATATAAGTAGTTATTTTGAAGTAACTCTCCTCTGCACAGATTCAGTTGTGAATACTTTTTGACACTTCTCTGCTAGATTGCAAATATGGCGTGTGTGTTTGTGTAAGTGGGAATCGTACTGTGAGTGAGGTGAAGGTCAGGCAGATTCCTCCAAAGCCGTTGAAGGAGACGGCGAGGAAGATGAGGACAGACAGCACTGATGGAACACACAGAAATGAAGAATACCATGAGCTATAATGAAACTAAAAAAAAAAAAAGGTACATTCAGTTTTTTTTAGGTTATTCTTCTCGCTTTATTCCCAACCAAAAGGAAATGCACCAAACAATAAAGTTATACTGTGACTGGAAAGGAAAAAGTGCATTTGCAGAATGGTAAATATGGCAGGTCAAGTCATTTCCAGGAAGGCAGGCTACAAAATGACAAATGTAAATGTAGCCTGCCTCATTTTTCGAATATCTGACTTTATCTTCCAAGTTACTTAATGTTTATAGCCTGTTTCATCATGTGACGGCTCACTCTGTTATAAATATAAGTGAGGTTGGTGTGTAAAATGTAACCATAACTGATAGGAATGACTACAAAACAACAAAAAAGCTGTAATGTGACAGATTTGTGCTCCTGCAGTCCTGGGATTGAAGTGAAGCAAGCATATGATGATTCAAGGTTTGCATACTGATGTATTGTTTTACCTTCAGGGTCATATGCAGCGGCAGCTATCATTGCACAGGAGGCTGCAAAACATGAACTGAAATATAGACACAGGACGTCAGAGTACATATGTATGTTGTTTAAATGATGCCGAAAAATTAGACCACACGTTTGTGGCTGGATTAGTGCAAATCCTTATTATGGTGCTGAATAAGTCCTTTAAGACTCTCCAGTTGAACCAGAATGCTGCGGCACCTGTTCTGACAAGAGCTACTACTAACCAGTTTGGGTTCTGGAGGCAGACGCCATCTCCACATTTAAGAGAAGATCTAAAGCCCCACGCACGCTGCTGCGTTTTTGAATTAAAACGTTTAGAAACGCTGTCGACCCCGTTTTGCATTTCGAAACCCCGGAGGGAGTTTTAGTGAAGACGGGTCAAAACGGAGGACTTTAGAATCGCTGACACAGACGCCGACGCTCGGCTCTCTGATTGGCTGTTACAAGTCATGCAAAGCAGAAACACGATGCTGCTGACAGAGTTTTAGTTTTGGTATTTTTATTAAAATAGTCCCATATAGGCCTATCTGCCTACACTACTGTGCTTGTCGCCGTTTACTTTGTGGTGACTCGCAGTCTGTTTTCCGCCGCCACAGTCCCGTGTTACATTCAGTAACAGACCCAGCTCGTTATTGGTGCATGCAAAAAAATTTAAATCTGGTCTGATTCTTCGTCTGCTTTTCTTTATACTTTCGCCAAATCTTCTGTAACTACGGAACAGACCATCTGTCGTTTGCATGCGCACTAGATTACTCTGCTACGCAGCTAAAACGCTGCTGTGGAGATCGTATTCGTTTTAATTCTCCATTTGCAAACTAAAACAGAGTAGTGTGGATGGGGCCTCAGACTTTCCTCTTTGATAAAGCTTATAGTTAGGTTGTTAGTAAAACTCGTAACTCCCACATAGTACGTCGCACTTTCGCAGACCTTCCGTGCACTTGTTCCCTGAATTGAGCTGCCTCTCGTGCTGTAGGCCACACCCCTTTCTGCCTACAATTGTTTAACAATAACCCAAAATTTATTGGAAAAGTTTTGATAATTCAAAAAATGTTCAAGTAATAAAGAACCGACTTCCTGCACGTTTGAGACAAACAGGAAGTATCGTCTCTGCATAGGTCGGTCAGATTAACACAAAACTTGGGCCACTATGTTCCCATGGTCACTGGGAATTGTTGGGTCTCTGTAAACAACATTACAAAGAGTACGATCTCGACCTGCTCTATATGAAAGGTCCAATAACTTGTTATGAATTGGCGCTATGTAAATAAAACTGAATTAAATGTAATTTTCATCCATATCATTTCGTCATATTCAGATAAAAACCAAATAATGAAAGGACTGTCTGCTATACCTGCCAATGAGCCTCAGTGGGCGTGGCCCGTATCTGTCCATCAGGATCCCCAGGGGTAAAGTGGCTGCACTCAAAAGGAACGAGCCAATGGTGAAGCCAAGATTCAATACCTCTTCCTGCTCCACACAACTCCGCCAGCCACTGCTCTTCATGGAAGTCACGTTGCTGACGACAGTTTCATTTTCTGGATAGGGTCATAGAAATAATTCAAGAGAGGGTAAACAGGTGATAGTTTTGAAGAAATATTGTGAGCCTCATTGTTCAGGTGTGAAGAGGTTCCGGAGACTGATGAAGACTTAACACAGCATGGTTTATTAAACCCGGCCGAGGAGACAGTGCCAGCAAACAACATGTGAACACGTCGAATGCCAACACCGAATCTGAAAGATAACATATTTTGGTCCCTTTTAAGTTTCTCTCTTCCCCCGTGTGCCTGTAGGTTTCCCTGTTAACTCACCTTTAGCTGACCTTAACCTAAAAACAACAAATCTATCTGATGTTTAGACTAGAATGCCACGTCTTAGCGGAATCTGTTACTTTCAGTGAGTTGTACTCTAATCTGTGAAGCCGGTGAGTTCTTCCAAACATTCTTGTAAGACTCGACCTTGTAAGATTCCCAGAGAACACGGACATCTGCTATCCTGACACCTGAGCTGCTGTCTCTACCTTATCAGTCTAACTGTCGTCTCCCCAACAAGGACAGTCATATGAGAGAAACAACAGTGAACACTTGTAGGCTCAGCAAATGACTCCACGTTAGACCTGTCTTCCCTGTTACATCAATTAAGCCCCCAAAGAATATTGTTTAACAGAAAGTAGAGAACCTAAGAGGTTGCTTAGCCTGCCGAAACACATTCTTCACTAGACCAAGCAAACAAACCCAATATAGCACTAACAGGATAGGCCCTGATCACTCAGTGTGTCCATTTGTTATCAGTCACATGCACAACCGATTGCAGCTGCAAGGGAAAGAAATAGTTACCACCTGACAAATGGTTTTGTTTTAGTGATGCTTTAACTTCAACTGAATAAACTCACAAGCTGCTGGTTCAAACACTGCTGATAGCTTTTCCAGGTTTGTGTACCTTATGTGAAGATGACATGATTCAATGATCTGTACTATTTATTCTATCTCTATGTAAAACCTTGAAGAGCCATATATGTAAATGCAAACGGAGCTTTTCCACACTGTAGGAGGTCATTGGTTATTTAAAGTCCTACAATTAGCATTTCATTGTTACAACATCACTTTAAGTCTGTGAAGACTTTCGGTCATCCAGGTCAGAGTTATCCATGGAAGGTTCAAATCAAGAGCACTAACGAACCAGGCGGTATTGAGCACTGTGAGAACGACTGGGTAGGAAAGGTGGTCAGACTCTAACAAGTCTACACGTGGATAATAACTGCACTACAGATGACAAGAAGAACTATTTGGATACTGGTCTAATCAACGCAAAGGTACGAGTGGAAGCTTTCAGTGGTATCAAACCTCAGCGCATTAATCCATCTGATCATGTGGCCGCTGTCATAAACATAAACCTCCACCTCTGGTATGACAGGATGAGATGGTCCATCGTCCCATGCAATTATAAAGTGATCTGCAGTCTGTATCACCTGCCCCTTCATTAGCCAATTATCCCAAGTATTTCTTTTTTAATGCAGATGTAGTTTGTTGTAAATATTATTTTCACTGTTTTGTGTATGTGAACGTATGAGATTTGGTGGCGGTTGAGTCTGTGGGAGATTTGATTTGATTTATTTTGTGTCAGAGCATTTAAAAGTGATTTACAGTAGTCAGTTTTGACTTGTTTTGTGCAGACTGTGTCAGGAGTTATAAAAAACCAACTCATTCTTGAGACATGTGTGCTACTGTCACAGGTTTGTAGGATAGAGCAGGTTGGAGAACCCAAACGCAGGACACCGAGCAGATCATCTTCAAAAAGGAGTATCTGACAAACAGAAGGCGAGCACAGTTACTTCAGAGTGGCCGAGTCCAAGATCCAAAATAAAGTGATCCACAAGAAAATCCACAAAACACAGGATGAAACGACGAGACAGAACTAGGCAGGCTTCACACTACAGCACACTGCAATGGCCGGACAGGGACAGCAAACATTTAACACCAGGGACTAACGAGCAGGCGGGAGAAACACAGGTGAGAGGAATCAGGACTAACGAGACAGGCAGGCAGAGGGATAACTAGAGGGTTACCATGAACACTTGACAGGCAGGCAGAAACTGAGCATGAAACAAACACCAGATAATAACAGAAAAGACAAGAACTTAGGCCGGCACAGATCCAAACAGGAACAGAACAGAAACAAGCAGACTGAACACTGAACACTGAACACTAGTGTTGTAGTACTCGAGACCGGCCTTGGTCTTGAGACCAGTCTTAAGACCACTTTTTGATGGTCTTGGTCTCGTCTCAGACATTAAAGACTCTTTTATTTCAAGACCAGTCAAGACCATAACTTTGGGAATATCAATTAAGTGCTTTTGCATTGTCTGATTTATGTGTTAACATCCTAACTTTCATTGGAAGTAAAACTTATTGCTTCAAATGCAACAAATAACCCTGATTAACGACTGTCCCCCCTCCCTGCGATGCTTACGTTGATTTCAGCTCTTAGTGTTTTAATGGGAATGTGGAACTTTCAGATCAGTTTGTGAAGCACCTGTGATCTCGTTCCACATTTTATCGTGTGTCATGTAATGTGGGGAACTGGTTTTGGTCTCGACTTAGTCTCTGCCCCTAAAAGTCTTGGTCTCGTCTTGGTCTCGATAAACTCTGGTCTTGGTCTTGACTTGGTCTCTGCCCCTAACAGTCTTGGTCTTGTCTTGGTCTCGACTTAGTCTCTGCCCCTAAAAGTCTTGGTCTTGTCTTGGTCTCGATAAACTCTGGTCTTGGTCTTGACTTGGTCTCTGCCCCTAACAGTCTTGGTCTTGTCTTGGTCTCGACTTAGTCTCTGCCCCTAAAAGTCTTGGTCTTGTCTTGGTCTCGATAAACTCTGGTCTTGGTCTTGACTTGGTCTCGGTTTGGGCGGTCTTGACTACAACACTACTGAACACAAGGTATTGGCAACTGACACAAGAGAAGAAACATACTGGAACACAGAACAGACTAAAAACTAATGACACAGATCGACCACAAAACGTAACAGGAAAAACAGACTGAACCAAGAACCGAACACGGAGCAGACATTGGCAAAATACTGAACACCCAAGTCCACAGACCAGGAGTAAATACTAAGACATTAACACAGAAGTAGGAAGTACGACATGGAACCACAGAGAACTAAACTCAACAGAACAGAGGACAGGACTAAACTGCAGATACAAAACCAAACAAACAAGAATCAAAGTACAGCACACAGAGAAACTCAGGACAGTTACCATTTCAAAAGGTAACCAACTGACAAAAACACCTCACGACTGCAGGTACAATTGGAATCCAACATCTCTCTCGCCGTCTGTTTAGACGCAGCTGACAAATGTGTGCAGGAAATATGTCATTTAAAAAACACAACAACAAATAGAAGTGATACTATTTCTGATAATTATAGTGGATAGGCAGATTTTGAGATTTCATCATGTGGGGGAAAAATCGGGGGAAGTGAAACAGCGGTGAGAGGGACAGAAAAAGGATTGGCGAGCATGGGACGCCTATTGATCATTTATCAGAGTCAGATCATTTATATCACTGATGTTGTTTATAGTAGTTCGGTCAGTGTTTTTTCTCGCCAGATTCCCAACCGACGCCGAAACTATCGCAACAGATCGCAAGAGGAATACTGAAATTCTGCACAGCAAAGCCTGCATCATTGGACTGACTTTCCCCAAGCAGCACCAAAGCTGGACTGATAATGTTATCTGGACATGGCATAAAGTAACAGTGTACACAGCTGAGCCTCTGTCAGTGTCCAAGTATTGATTTGTTTTTACTGAGGTTCATTCACACGGAGAGGATGTGCTGGCATGCTCGTGAATGTTGGATACGTGGGTGCAGAACAACATACACACATATTCCGGCGTGGACTGGACGCGTGCACACTTGCACACACACACACACGCTTTCTCTCTCATGTGCATACTCTCTTTGTTCTTTAGCTTCAGTTAAGTACAGTTAGATTTAGATTACAGTACGTATTGAGTGATGTACTTTTATTATTTTGTAAATAAATGCTTCTTAAGATGCGTGCTGGTCTATTTGATGTTGCACAAGAGTGAATACTGCCAACCTCTACTATGCAGAACTCCAAAGCCATTCATAATTATTAAAGACTTTATCACATGTACAGCTTTGAAACTATCCAAGAGAGGCGGACTGTGGATGATACTGAACTAGAGACAAGCAGATAAGCTGGTTGGATGGTGGTCTTACCAGTACAAAGATGGGAATAGAAGCCTTCGTTCTTCAGCATGATGAGCAGTGAGCCCCAGCCCAGCAGGACAGCAGAGAAGAGCAGGTTCTCTACAATGGCTGTACAAGCCATCCACCACCTCCTCCTGTAAGCCTGGGCTAAACTGGGAGCCATGACAGCTGGAGACACACAAGAACAGGAAACAAATAAGAGGAAAATATTAGTCCATCAAACAGCGGGAAGCACAGTTGTGCTAGGAGCCACCAAGCACCACAAATCCTTTCTTTGCACAACCTCTTTTAGTGTCACATTAGATTTTAATTCATGTAACATTGACCTGCAGAAAAATGTCAGTTTCACTTCTCCTGCACTGAGCTCGTGTTCAGCAGTGTTTTCTTTCTTTCTGTGATGTGATATGCAGTCCTGCAGCTGGCAGGGGCCATAATGCAAATGTGTAGTGCATGGGAGCCACACACTACACTAAAAGAAACATATGTTGTTTTTTTAACCTTGGATTTTATTTTCGTAGTTTGGGCCAATGGTTCAATCCCTCACGATAACATTGTACTTGGAAGGTCTTGCAAATCTGCATCAAAAACCAACATGTCCAACAACACGATCACATGATCATCCTGGTTGACAGGTTACTGCCACAGATCTCAGCACTTACTTTGGTGGAACAATATTATCACAATTGTGATAAAAGAACTGAACAAAAAACAAACAAACATAGTTTTCCTTCAAGTTGACATATCAAAGTTAGCCATTATTTTTAGGACATCTCATGTCCTTGCAAAATTCTAACCTGGCTTTCTCTAATCATCCCCTCCCTCTCCAGCTCAAGCTGATGTGTGGTGAGCATTCTGGCGCTAAATGGCTGCTGTGCATCACCCAGGTGGGCACTATACATTAGTGGTGTTTGAGATGAGCCCCCCAGCTTGTAAACTGTCTTGAAAGCTGAACGGAAACAAGTATTACAAGTATTATTACAAGTATTATTACAAGTAGTAATCCTTTAACGCCGATTGTCGCAAATTGGCATCACACCTCTTCCTTTCAGACTGCAGCTGAGATGGCGTTTGTATTCCCCAAATGCCTGTTTGTGCATATTCGATACGTACCTGGGAACCTTTTGCAATCACCTGTTTCTCATTTATGCCTGTTGTTGCTAATTTGCATCATACCTACATCATACCTGAATTTATGTCTTTTCTATGTTCTATAGACAAATTTACAATTTCCACTTAATTTTTAACATCAGCTTGAAAGCAAATGAAAACACAAATTATTATCTTTCATTTTTTTATTGTAAAAAAATTCAGGCATCAAGGGGTTAAGGAGGGGATGGGTATATGAGATCAGACGGAGAAGTCTGACCTCACTTGACCTTCTACTTTAGCTGGCGCTATTAAGTGTCATGCACTGATGTAACCCACTTGCACACACAGAAACATTCAGGTTTAACCACAAATCCATGGACCCAGTGTTCTCCCCTGCTATGAGAGTGTAAATATTTGATGGACTGAATTTAAAACGCATGTGTGCAAAGCTTTGGAAAGCTGTGACTCAACCTGTTTAAGGCACACTGGGAATTCTACTGATTACTGTTTGGAAAAAGCAGCGCTCTCTCTCTCTGAATTGAAATCCCTTACTGTAAAACTACAGTTAATGAAAACCAAACACTTCCTGTAACAGTGGGCTACTGCAAACCTGACATGAGAACCAGGGCCTGTATTTTTCAAGCTTCTCAGTTATAAATAAAACTGAGAAGATAAAAAATTTATCTTTCCATGAGCGTTGTGCCTACTGCTCCTATGAAGCACGCCTGACGAGAATTGCATGCACCTCGGAGGTAACGCTCTTTTCATGTCAAGGAAAGAGGTGGATGCAAATCTCCTGCAGGTAGCCGATGTGTGGCGCTGTAAGTGCCATAATTGTTTCCATGACAACTGATGGTGATGGCCCCAAATCATCAGCACCGCTGCGTAAAGCCAGTGGTGAGATGACGTCCCTCACCAACTCGCTGACAAGGATGACGCCTGCTCTGTCCAAACGATGGCGCATACCGCGCCTCGTCAAGTAATTCAAAAACATTCTTCCTCTCCTGAAAGATCTTCGCATGTCTCTGTCTCCACAGCGCCATCACAAGCCAAGACCGTCCAGACCGAGACCAAGTCGAGACCAAGACCAGAGTTTATTGAGACCAAGACTTTTAGGGGCTGAGACCAAGTCAAGACCAAGACTGAGAAAGGCGAGACCAGTTCCCCACATTGCATGACATTCAATAAAATGTGGAACGAGACCACAGGTGCTTCTCAAATTGATCTGAAAGATCCACATTCACATTAAAACACCCACATACAAACACTAACGTAAGCATCTTTATTCAAGACGGTACGGCGAAGACGGTATTTTTCAGCTTTGTCTTATACCTTGGGAACGATGAATGCTTCAATAAACATGTTAAAAAATAAAATTATTTTAAGCATGATACTCATAAAAACCTCATTTAATAGTAAAGTAATTGTAGGAATCAGTTTGTTGAGACGGCAGATTTCAGCACAAATCCCTGATTATTTCCTCGTTTAAATGTGGTATGAAGAACAGCTGTTTTGCTCAATTATTTGTCAACATTTTTCAAAAGACGTGTGAGAGACAGGGACCACGAGAGAAAGGGGGCCCCACAGAGACTGCTTGTATATAGGGCCCAGAATTTAGTGTTTACGCCACTGCTTCAGAGGACATTGACTGGAGACTTAAAGCCTAACCTTAAACCAAGTCTACACGCTAAAATTTCATGATTTCCGTTATGGATTTTTTAGTTTGTTTGTTTTGTCCCCAACAGGAAGGTCACGTCCACTCTGTGTGACTCAGAGGTTATTGCAGCAGTCTGATATGCCGGATATATGTGTGTAATTGACACAAGCCTACACAGAGTAGACAATAATTGTACCAGTGTAGTTTCTGCTTTTTTGTTGACTCACGGTGTCCATTAGCACTGACAGCTAACATGTAGGTCCCACATGGTTAAATGACGGACTGCCATTTGGGTCCCAGGTAGGCAACCCCCCATTTGGCATTTTGACAAAAGTGACAAAAATAAACCACAACAAAATAAAATAAATGCAAAGACCACTGTTGTATATAATAAAATGATGACAGAGCAAATAACAGTTCCTCATTCATTCATAAACAATAAAATGCACTCTGGCTTAATTCAGTCCACCCTGGGGTTTGCTTCTACAGCCTCTTCTCTACCTGTGCTAACCTCGCTCTACAATGAGCAACAATGACGGCTGTTCAGCTAAAGCTTAGGCTGGTTTTAAAGCCCCCTTTCGGCCAAATCATGAGCATTTACGGTGTAAGGGAACGCAACAAGGGACCCATGTCAGGAAGTCACACACAGTGGACAGCTTTGCCCATTGGTGACCTGAGGCACACACTACATTGAGTTAAACACACTTTTGTTCTTTTTAAAGCTTTTAAATCACTCAACCTACAGCATGTGGGACCCCAAGGATATGCCACAAGGACATCGCCACTGTTATCACACCACTGTTATTCAGCTTTGATTTGAAGACACTTTAACATGTACCATGTGTCATTTCATCTCACATCCCACACTTTCAAATGTTGTACATGTTGGACAATTGGACTCTGCTCAGTTTCAGTGTTTCTACAGTTGTCTTGAAAGATAAGTGCACATCATAGCTGGTGATCAGCTTTGACTACAAAAGCCTAACTCTTCTAACTAACTCTACAGTAACGAAACTCAGTCAGTGTCATTAAATCCTCAGCTGTGACTACAGCTGTGTCAGGCGGCTCCTTCACATTTGCCAACACGTGGCAAAATGAGGGGGAAATAATCCTAACTATGCAACACGTCTAAAGTCACTTACTTTATAAATTGTGCTCCTCCAGTAGATGATCTGTCTTTACTGATTGAACACGTTCTCTTCGCTACTGCCTGCTTCCCAACAGGAGAACGTGTGATTCTGTTTCAGAGTTTAATCTTTCTCTTGCAGATGTAAAGTTTTATATCCTTCCCTCTGTGTGGCAGCTGTATTTACTGGCACAAGTGCACTCACATTGACTCTCTCTCTTACTCTCTATGTACAGTATGTCTATAAATGGAGCTCAAGTCCTGTCCGCCCACCCACTGACCTTAACACACACACACACACACACACACACATTCAGTAGCACACCTCACCACACAGTTTTTACGTTATTGCACCAGAAGTCTTGCTAAATTCGTCCAGACCTTGTGTTACAACACATTGTTTCTGATGCTTTGATAAAAATGCTATCGGCTGATAACTTATCTCCACTTTAGGTGATATTTTAATAAAAAAGTTATTGGATTTACATTTCTTAACCCCACAATGTCATAAAAACAAACACCAACCCTTCTTCGATTTGCTCGTAACACTTTGGTTCCTGAAAAGGTGACATGTTGAAGAACATTTTTCACCTGACCCCAGTATCAGCCCTGATTTACTGGAGGCCTGCTCACTGGCCCCCTCATGTGGCCAGCTACAGTATGTTTCTAAACTGTTTTATAAAAGAGTTTTATTTTGATATTTGAGGTGTGGAATCATATGTTTTAACTGTGATGATGTTTATTGTTGTTGCGCACCTAGACGCCAAAACAAATTCCTTGTTTGTGTAAAAAAAACATGTCAAAAAAATCTAATTCTGATTCTGCTGCTGTTTTAAATTCCTGCAATGACGGTAAACTACGCATGACATGTGAATGAAAGTAAAAACAGCAGCAAACATTATTTTGCAGTTTATCATGTTGCTTCTGTAATGTGTCAAATAAGCACAGCACACTTGAAGTCTGAGCCATTTCATATTTTTTGTTTCATCCTGTAACATCACTTCCAACGACAACACGCTTTTCAACAGTAGCATCAACGTGGAAAACGTTTAAAATAAAATACAAAATAGTGCTCCCTCATTTAGCTTCAGTGGAAACGTTGTTGGTTGCTTAGTGGTGAGGGAACAAGAGGGTGGAAATACAGAAAGAGGAACACATTTGAAAACAGTTTCTCCAATTATGAAATTATTCACTACTTAAACAAGCCAGTCAGTGAAACTTTCAGTTTTTGCGACAGTTGGGAACTAAATAAACCCTCAATTCCACTTACTGTTATAATAAAAACTGTAAAGAAAGTTGGTACATTTATCAGAGCTGGACTGTCATGACATAATACACAGTTAAGGAACAATAAAATATGAATAAATAATAATAAACAGTACGAGGCGCATCCACATGTGTTTTCTGCCTTTATGGTAAAATATTTTTTTGCAATTTCCGAGCAATCACATGAGAAACATTTAGGACTGAAAATTTAACTAAAATAAAAAACTAAGACAAAAGAGGCAGAAGGGTGGGCAGCAAGAACTTCTTCTATGGTTTTGGATAATTAACAAGGAGAAGTAGTGACTAAGACAAAATTTATTTTAAAGCAATTTATTAAAAGGTATCATAAAGAGCCTATGACCAACTATTACGGGGAGAAATCCGACACTTTGAGAATAAAATAGCAAATATATTATAAGAATAAGGTCTGAATTTTGGGAGAAAAAAAAAGGTAAATTGCAAGAATAAAGTCAAAATTCTAGGAGGTTGAAAGTCAGAAAATGCCATAATATTTTGAGTGAAATGGTCTAAAATAAGTAGAAACACATTTTATGGGTCACAGTAATAATTTTACACAAAAACATTTTAATATTACAAGAGCAAACTTCAGATTTTAGGAGTCAGGCAGCCAGAATCCACAGTGTAAATGCTCTGCTAACCCAGAACAAAGTGACCAAACACGAACCTTTTGCAAGCATAAACAGGCGCTCTACATATAGTGACTTTTCTCTCATCATGTCATGGCTTTTTTTTTTTCCTCATAAAAATATGACTTCATCTCAAAATCTCCAAATATTTTGACTTTTTTTCTTCTAAATCTCACACGGTGGCCCTAATACTCTGTCACTGTGGTCAAATGTGATACGTAACAAAAGATACTATAAGCTCACTGCTTGGACCCCTAACTACATAAATAAAATAAAAAAAGTGTTCAATGGCAAACAGAGTGAGATGTCAGAATGGCATCACCGGTCACTGACCCGCACAAAAAACCCATTTAAAAGAAACACTTGCTCACTGTCAGGCTTACTGTCAGAGATCATTTGGAATCTGTGTATTACAGCTTTGCTAAAAGCACTGGTTGTCGAAGCGTAATCCTGAATGTGAAAGCATTTAAACTAAACAGAGGCAGATTATTTGGTAAACATGGCATGGGGAGAAAGAAGAAGCAACTAAAAGAAACAATAGTGTGCTGAGCCGGACTTATGTAGTGAGAGTATTAACTAATACAGTTTATTTAAAGCCCTAAAATAAAGAAACGTGAATCCATTTAGCTTACATACATGTAGCAGTCACATAATGTAGATGCTGACTGCACCTGGAAGTACACACAACCTCTACCGTTTAACCATGAATATAAATAATATAACAACATGTCTAAACTGATCAAACAGTCTGAACGCATTCCTCCTGGTGTGCAGGCTTCGGTTATACTATAAAGCTTCAGCATGTCTAAAGAAGCAGCAGAAGCCTGACCAAGTCAAGCTGGAGAGCTTTCAGTGTCAGTAACAATCAACAGGACAGACGACGAAGGAAGCTGAACTGTAGCTCGATCAGAAGGAACGTCTAAGGGACTCAAATGCTATGAAGAACTGTACATGTGAACCCTGCAGACCCCCAGCTGTACGCATCGCCCCCCAGACAGAAGGATTACACGTGTATTTGCAGAGTCAGATGGTCACAGCACAGACGTGTGCTGATCTTCAGCTTTGAAACATGTCAGAACTGTGTGACGTGCACTCGGTCCCGGTCTGCTAACAGTCTGCCTGCACAGCTGAAATGCTTGTTTACAGTATCTGCAAGAAAGATCTAACAGTAATGTGACAGAATAGTTTTGTATTGCAGCATAAAGACTGTTGCAGTGGCCATCTGGGGGATTCTACTGTACATCTAGATATCTGGCCTCGTCACCTGTTACTTGTTACCGGTGAACTGCTGTGTGGATGTAATGTTGGTTTATGTGTGTTTGATCCTGCACCACTCATTTTCATCTAAAGGGTGCTATGTGTGGCTTTCTGCCATGAATAAATCATCAACAAGCCGTGACGCATGTGAACGCATTAAATGTGGGACAGAGTCTTTACCAAGTGGAGACAAATGAGCTACACTACAAAAAGTAGTTCTTACTAAATACTTTACTATTTATGGCATTTCCAGTGGTGCAACCTGATTTAGGAAGCAACTAGTTTAAAGCTAGCTAGTATTACTAAAAACTTAAGAAGGACATTACACGCAAAACTATTGAAGGTTTTTATCAATAGCTGGTGCAACCTGATCCTGGTCTCTGAAAAAGTCAACAATCTGAGAGGGAAATGTCTCTTTGGAAAATAAATGTATCCTGTGCCAAACCAGAACAGTTGAGATCCAAATGTTAACTGCTACAGCTACAATAACGGAATATAGCATGCTAACATGCTAATGTTTATCATGTAATCTTTAAGCTGATGATACACGGGGCAACTTTTTGAGCAATGTTGCTGGGCAATGTTGCTAGTGGCAAGTCCGACTATGTTTTGAACTCATTACCATTGACGACAACGTTGCCCTGCACGATTGCTCAAAAAGTTGCCCCGTGTATCATCAGCTTTAGTGTTGTTAGAAAGGTTAGCAGGTGAGAATGCTATGTTAGCATCAAGTAGAGCTTCAGCGGTATCTTGTCAGAGACGTATTTAACTCCGGACCAACAAACTGACCAACATCAGCATCTGTAGATCTGTGAAAAGCGAAGGATCATACAAGTACAGTGTAATAAGCTACAGGATACAAATGAGCTACACATAGCACCTTTTAGTATTGAAGGAGAAATGGTCTAAAACTGCCTTTCTTATTTGTTGTTCTCTGATTGTCTGTTGGCTAATCGACATCCATTCTTGTATTTTAGCATCTCTTTTCCTCTCTCACCCTTACCCTTACACATCAACCCCCCAGTCCTATGCATTTTAGTCCACCAGTTTTTTGCTTTTCTCTTTCTTCTTTCAATTTTTTCACTGCTTCCACAGACTGCAGTCCACCGATCCTCTCTCTCTCCCATCACTCCCAGAAGATGTTGGTGATGTCAGAGTCCAGACTGAAGATCCAGATCAGCAGTGGTGCAGAGATCAGGACAAACGACCAGGACACACCCTTAACTGTCAGACGCAGCCTTGTCATCATGGCACCGACCAGTCCCACACTAGCCCCTGTCCTCTGCAGCTCCTCTTCCTCCTCCAGTGACTTTTAAAAAAATGGATTTCAACAAATGAGAAGGTTAGAGATTAGAGACAGAACACTTTGACATACAAATACCCTCGCAGTCAGCCATGTCTTCTGACCTGGATCTGGCTTCCCGGCTCGATGTAGTTGCGGGCCAGGAACTTCAGAGCCTCGTCCATCAAGATGACAGGAAGTGACATCTTCAACACCACCACCCACTGAGGCCATGACAGAGGGCGTATCTGGAAAATCACCTGAAGATACAGACAGAGGGAGGGCAGATATTTAAGCCCTGGATAGAGTGTCAGTGAACTTCAAAAAGATTTCTTCATCTAAACCATCAACCTGCCTCTTAGGCTACATCCACATAAATACCATTTCATTTAAAATGCAGACCTTCTGCTATGTTTGCACCTTCTGTCCAGACTAAAATGGTAAATTCGAACACCTAAAATATAGAATTGTAAATGTAGACCCAGTTTTGGTTTTAAAACTCAGAAGTAGCATTTTAGTGCATTTGGCTTTCCTCATTGGATCAGTCATGCAAAGCAAAAACACAAATGTACTGACAGAGTTGTTGTTTTAGTATTTTTAGTTTAGAATTCCTGGACATACAGAAGTGTCCAAATAATTCTAGTTATTGTTCATCCCTCAATGCAAATGTGTAAGTCTGTTATAATATGTACACTCAACCAAATTATAAACACAACACTTTTGTTTTTGCCCCCCCTTCATCATGAGCTGAACTCAAAGATCTAAGACTTTCTCTCTGCACACAAAAGGCCTATTTCTCTCAAATATTGTTCACAAAATTTGTAAAAATCTGTGTCAGTGAAAACTTCTCCTTTACCGAGATAATCCATCCACCTCACAGGTGTGGCATATCAAGATGCTGATCAGACAGCATGGATATTGCACAGGTGTGCCTTAGGCTGGCCACAATAAAAGGCCACTCCAAAATGTGCAGTTCCATCACACAGCACAATGCCACAGATGTCGCAAAGGCATTTCAGAGAATTTGGCAGTACATCCAACCGGCCTCACAACTGCAGAGTGTGTAACCACACCAGCCCAGGACCTCCACATCCAGCATCTTCACATCCAAGATCATCTGAGACCAGCCACCCAGACAGCTGCTGCAACAATCGGTTTGCATAACCAAACAATTTCTGTACAAACTGTCAGGAACCGTCTCAGGGAAACTCATCTGCACGCTCGTCGTCCTCATCGGGGTCTCGACCCGACTGCAACTTCGCACAGCCGTTGAAGAGGAGTGGACCAACACTCCACAGGCTACAATCAACAACCTGATCAACTCTATGCAATGGAGATGTGTTGCACTGCGTGAGGCAAATGGTGGTCACACCACATACTGACTGGTTTCCGGACGCCCCAGTGAAACTGCACATTTTCGAGTGGCCTTTTATTGTGGCCAGCCTAAGGCCTTTTATTGTGGCCAGCCTAAGGCACACCTGTGCAATCCCCATGCTGTCTGATCAGCATCTTGAAATGCCACACCTGTGAGGTGGATGGATTATCTCGGCAAAGGAGATGTGCTCACTAACACTAACACTAACTAGAGAAAGTCTTGGATCTTTGAGTTCAGCTCATGATGCATGGGGACAAAAACAAAAGTGTTGAGTTTATACAAAGGTTAAAGTCAAGGGCAACTATGACCTGGATGACTGAGAATCTTCACAGACATGTTACGTTTATAATTTTGTTCAGTGTAGTTTATTTATATATGTGTGAGTTGTTGTTTTTATCAGCATCATCATAAGTGAGTGCAATATTATTGATACATTGACTGTGCAATCTTTTACTTCTGCCGATACCAGTTTTACCAGTATGTGTGAGTTTCTGTCAATTATTTTACTTTTTCTTTACCTTTTCATCTTTAATTCATTGTACACTGAGGGAAGTTGCACTTAAATCTCATTGAACTATGTTCAGCATTCTGATTCTATTGGTTATTGGTTCAGATCAAGACACGTTTTGTGTCCTTAAAGCCGCATTCAACACTTTGTACAAAGAGCCAGCCAGTCTGTCTGTAATGAAACAAAATAAAGATAATCTCGACCTTAGGTTACCAAACAAATATATAACAGTGCATCATTATCAGCTCAGCTGCGTCATTCAGTTGACAAGCAGACAGAGAGGAGAGACAGAGTCTGACCTACTGCTGTCACCTTTGGCTTACTCAAGCTCAGCAATAGACCCTATCATGACCTGAAAGCTGTTCATAATACCCATAAAATCCTTTACACTATGTACCACAGTCCTGTGTGACTTTCAACATAGCAATAGTTTATTTGAGTATTTCCAGTCAGGTTTTAGAGTGCGTCATAGCACAGAGACAAAATGAAAAATGACTAATTGCATCAGACAAAGGTCTTGTCTTTGTACTTGCACTTGATACCATTGACCATCAGATCCTATTAGAGAGACTTGAACATTTAATTGGCATCAAAGAAACTGCTCTAAGCTGGTTTAAGTCCTGTTTATCAGATATATCTCAGTTTGTACATGTTAACTATGAATCCTCCATGCACGCCAAAGTTAATCATGGAGTTCCACGAGGATCTGTGCTCGGACCAATCCTCTTATACAGTCGCAGGAAAAAGAATTTGAACCCTTTGGAATTTATGTTTTATGACCAATGTCTTTAAATTGGTCATAAAACACAATCTGATCATCTAAGTCACAACAATAGATAAACACAGTCTGTTTAAAGTCTGTTTAAAGTAATACCCCACAAACAATTATATGTTTTTTTTCCCACAGTGCAGGGTGGAAAAAGTATGTGAACCCCTAGGCTAATGAAGTCTCCAAAAGTTATTTGGAGTCAGGAGTCAGCCAACCTGGAGTCCAATCAATGAGACGTGATGGGAGGTGTTGATTAGTAGGGTGTGGAAAATAATTGATTCTGAGATGCATAGGGATGCGGACTTGGACGATTCTGAATCAATTCACAAATGTTAATAATCAATTATCTAGAAGTTCACTGATAACATAATGTTGTGTGAGTGGTGAGCACACACCAGACGTGTTCTCCCTGTTCGCCAAGGCAGGCAGCTGTTGAATGAATAGGGCTGGGCGATAAAAACATTTCATATCATTCGATATCGATAATTATCACGATATATGTCAAATCATTATTAAGGCAGATTTTGAAGAATTGAAGAAACCAGATGTTAATTATGTGGTTAAACTTTTCTTTATGGTCAGAATGTGACAAACACTTGATAACAAACAGCGGATCACTTCACAAGTCTGAGGTAGAACATTCAAAACTATTATCTTTTTCAGCAAATATGATTAGTTAATCTTTTTTCAATTACCATTATTGTTTTATTGCCCAGCCCTAGCTGCTACCAGTGTTGAGCCAGTTACTCAGAAATTGTTATAAATTACTAGTTACAGTATTACAGTACTAGTGCATGCATCACTGTTTCTATAAGTTTTTTTCTATAAGTTTTACGTTACGTTGAGTTACAAAAGTTCAGCACTGTTGCTACTCTCCCTAGGAATTGCCTTCCTGCAAAGATGACTGTACGAGCACAGTGCAGAATGCGGTGACGAAGGATCCTAAAGTGTCAGCTGAAGACCTACAGAAATCACTGGAACATGCTAACATCTCGTGTTGATGACTCTACGATAAGTAATCCATTCAACAAGAATGGAGTTCATGAGAGTACAACACAGAAGAAGCCATTGCTGTCTCAAAAAAAAACATTGGTGCATGTCTGAAATTTGCAAAAGAGCACCTGGATGTTCCACAGCACTACTGGCAAAATATTCTGTGGACAGATGAAACCAAAGTTGATATGGAAGGAACACACAACCCTATGTGTGGAGGAAAAAAGGCACAGCACACCAACATGAAAACCATAATCCCAACTGTGAAGTATGGTGGAGGGGGAATCATGGTTTGGGGCTGCTTCACTGCCTCAGGGCCTGGAAGGGTTGCTATCATCGACAGAAACATTTATTCCAAAGTTTATAAAGACATTTTTCAGGAGAATATAAGGCCATCTGTCTACCAATTGAGGCTCAACAGAAGATGGGTCATGCAACAGGACAACGACCCAAAGCACAGAAGTAAATCAACAAAAGAACGGCTTCAGCAGAAGAGTATACACCATCTGGAGTGGCCCTGGATGACCTATAATTTTCTGATATTTAACTCAGACAAAATTGGAGTTATGGTACTTGGAGCTGTAGAGTCTGCATCTGTGGCTGCTATCCCCATGTTCCTGCTCGACACCCGATGCTACGATTATTATTATTAGTCATATTATTATTATTGCTAACATAATAGTAATGTAAAACTTTGATTATATTTGCTAAAATCACTGAATTGATCTTGTCTATTTGGGACAGGCATTCATACGGGACAGGCCTTTAATTCCTTTCGCACAAACTATCCAACAGTTCATTTCAAACAGCATGAATATTAAAATTAGGCTTTTTGAAGACCCTTTTCTCTCTCTCTCTCTCTCTCTCTCTCTCTCTCTCGACTGACATTCACCGGTCTTGTGCAGAGTTTTTGCCGTGCTGCTGACAACTGCATGCACGTCGCGGTTCCTCGTGGGTCTATTTCAAGCAGCCAGCTATTTAAAAACGATAAAATATTTTTTGTGTGGTTCATCAACGGTGATAAATTCTCAGAAAATCCCGCGAGGTGCGAACAACTCGGCACAACACCAGCAAAGCTGGGGCTCCGTCTCTTCAGCAAGTGTTCCTCTACTGCCACCACTACACGCTACGCCTACACATGCGCACTGACGACCCGGGGTTAGGGTTACAATTTTGGATTTATTCACGCACTTTAGAAACATTTATTGTTAAGTTTTATTCTTTTTACATTTATTTACAGCATTAAATGTTAAAATATATATTGTAATAGGCTGTATATTAACTTATTGGGAGAAAACTGGTAGTTCTATGTAAAATCAGACGTTGAGCACCCCCATATCACAAAAATGGTATGATCCTTGTTTCGCTGCGAAGCTTGGACAGTTGAATCAGGCTCCGCCCATCGAAGCATCGAATCTTCGACTATAAGGGGTCAGCCCTAATCCAATATATAGAAATAAAATAATTTTATTTATTCGATGAACTATATGAATTGAATGTTTTTTTTGTGTATTTTCCTTGAAGCTTTGGAATACTGTTATATTAACATTCATGCCAATACAGCCAATTTGGTTTCGACCTGACTTTTTGTCTCCGTGAGACGGAAGAATTTAGAAAGTTGCGTGGCGCTGTGGAGAGCCCCCAGCTGCAGTAGTGCACAGATCACGCATAAAATTTATCCAGCCAGAGGGATTGATCACCAAGTGTTCACAGCGCGCCAGCCGTCATAGCGACACAACCCATTGACTTAAAAGAGTTCACTGACTCAGCCGACCTGATTTCCTCGGGCAGGCTGTTCCAGAGCCTCGGGGCCCTGACAGCAAACGCTCTGTCCCCTTTAGTTTTCAGTCGAGACTCTGGAACAGACAACAGACCTCTGCCCGAGGATCTCAAGGTACGTGCTGGTGCGTATGGGACTAAAAGGTCAGAAATATAACAAGGCGAGAGGCCATGAAGAGCTTTAAAAGTGATCAATAATAATCAATTCTGAAACATAATGGGAGCCAGTTTAATGAAGCTAAAACAGGGTGATGTGGTCATATTTCTTTGTTGTAGTCAAAAGCCTGGAAGCTGAGTTCTGGACAGTCTGGAGTCGATCAATAGATTTTTGGATTAAGCAAGTAAAAAGGCTGTTGCAGTAATCCAGGCGCGTTGAGATGAAGACGTTTAAAATGGTCTCTCCTTAAAAGTTAAAATGATTGTATTTTTGATACATTCCTAAGCTGATAAAAACATGATTGAACAAGCTTTGTGGTGTGCTGCTCAAAACCTAAACTACTATCAAACCAGAGATCAAGATTCTTTGCAACAGATTTAATGTGATTTACTAGGGAACCAGCAGATGGCAGTATTTGCGTTGCCATTTGCTGGGACCCAATGCGCAGGATCCCTGTTTTGTCTGAGTTCAGAAGGAGGAAATTATTTGACATCCAATTTTTGACTTCACAGAGGCAGTTGTTAAGTGAACTCAGCGTAAATATTAAAAGAAACACCATGTTTCTGTTTTGCAAATACAAGGAAAGTTAAAGCTGGCACGTAAATGTGTTTAGGCCAGGTCTCTTATGAGACATGTCAAGTTTGGTACTGATCTGAGCATGTACAGTCAAGGTACAACAACTTCCCATTTCATGGAGAATCAGCGATTTTGGATACCATGCAAAGTGCACGCCGTTCCACGAAAACTCACCATTTGTACAACTTTTAATCGTCAGTGGCTTTAGAGTAGACAGGGAAAATCTGAAGTTGGTCGGACTAATTCTCTAGGAGGAGTTCGTTAAAGTTCAGGGCAGGACTTGTATTAAACGTGTAAAAGTTGGTACAGATCTGAGCATGTACAGTGAAGTTACAACAACTTCCTGTGTCATGGCGAAGCGTGGGACTTCGCCGCCATGCCACTGCCACACCACTGCCATTAACCGAAAACTCACTAGTTTTACATCATGGCTTAATCAATGTGTTAAGGGTTTTCTGGGACAGTTTTGAAGTTTATATGTCCAACCTGCGTAAGAGTATTAAAGCGTAAAACGTGTCATTTCCTGTGGCCAGCAGGTGGCGCTATGACTTTGAGTGAATATTGGTATATGGATGTGTTCAGCGCGAGACTTTTTTATTGTTATACTTATCAAATTTGGTGCAGATGTGAGCATGTGTACTGATATTATAACAACTTCCTCTTTCATGGCGAATCACCAATTTTGGATTACACACCATGGGCAAACAGGTCGACTTGTAATAACCGTTTGAATAACTTTTAATCGTCTGTGGGTTTAGACTGCACAGCAAAATTTTGAAGTTGATCGGATTGAATCCCTCAGAGGAGTTTGTTAAAGTACAAAGTGTGTAAATCTCCAAAAATTACAAAAACCATTAAATCCAAAATGGCCGACTCCCTGTTGGGTTTAGGGTTTAGACTCTTTTAGATGCATGCTTACCGGCAGTGGGTCTACATATAGAATGAGGAAGTGTAGGGCCATGGACAGACAGATGGCCCCCACCAGCCAGGGGTTTGACCAGGGAGGCATTTTCAGCAGAGACTGGTTCTCTGAAAGACTGGACAAGGCACAGGAGAAGAAGAAGGTTATTTTTACTGTATTCTTCGCCACTTTAAAAAATAACTTCATTTCATCCCAGATCTACAGCCTTCACAAACCTCCATGGAGTTTTACACCAAATTATGAAGTATAAACAATCACATGGGACTGGCACGCTTTGTTCCTACCTGTTTAAGGCGTTACACATCTCTATGGTAACCAGCACGGACAGGGCCATAGTCATGGGATAAGGGGACTCAAAGACTGAACACTGCACACCAGCAAACTCGACATGGCCTTCACGGCACTGCAGGTAGTGAGACTGTGGAGGAAACAAACATGTTAAATATCATCTGGCCAACTTCCTACTCACCTGTCTCACTTTCTTACCTAGGAAAATAATTCAAATGCTGTCATCCTTTTGTTTGGCATTAGGTAACAAGAAAATTCTAAATTATGTTGGAGGTGATTTCTCTATTAGTAACTTGTCCAACAGAAATCACTGATAAATGTATTTATTACATGTAAAATGTCCCACTCAGCACATATATTGGTCACAATTCACACATTCACAATACACAGTTCTGTATTGACCTCCCCTTCTGTCACTGTATTTAGCCTTGAGATTGTCACCTAATAACAGACTTTTGGGGGGTAGTGGAACACACTGTACATAAAGTTGATATGATTATTATTTACACGTCCAGCTGAAACAGAGCAACATTAGCATTCATTTTTGGTCAAATATTCACTCCTCTTTTTCTCTCTCTCTTTTCAGATCTGCTTTTTCAGGGGCCCCATTTAGAAAACAGTGGGTAGGATCCCCACTTAAAGTGTACATGCGCACAGTAAACAAAAGTGGCGTGTGGCAAAAACAATTCTGATTTTTAAAACCGTGCATGCGCACACCTTAATAAATCACAGTTCACCTTTAAATGTGTGCACGATCAGCCTCAAATCACTGCAAACAGCAAAAGAGTGAGGTGGTTTAGAACTAAAAAATCTGTTTTATTACTTCCTGGCCAACGGACTACTATATATCTTAAAATGGATAATCAGAGCCCATTGGACTAGAGACCCGCACGGGACTGTTTTCCACTCCAGCAAACATTGTGACATGCAGAGTAAAAAAGGACACAAATGTTTGGACTATGCTAAACGTCCGTGTGACGGAAACCAGCGAGACTGTGCAGTGAGTAAACCTCACTTCCGTACTGGCGACTGACGTCATTGGCCACGGGGTTTAGCTCCCTCGTCAGGGGGTCCGGCTCCCGTACCCGAGATCGCCGTACATGTCAGGCCAGTGAAGTACGTTCACGTGAGCATTCGCAACAATCCTGACATCCTGCAAAATAAGTAACGCTAAATTCCCCACTTTGGTACGATAAAGGGATAAGACATCTATAGCATGTCATCCACGACTGTAACTTTATTCCATCCCAGGATTTAGTGGCACAAAAACTGAAATTAGCAATAATACATTTCTTGAATTTCAACAGCTTAAATCCATAATTCGGGCAAATTTTAAAGGTTCAGTGTGTAATAATTAGACAGAAATGCAATAAAGGATTTGTTCTCAGTGGTGTATAAAGACCTTACATAATGAACAGTTATATTTCTATTACATTAGAAAGAGTCATTTCTTTCTACATAACTGCGGGTCCCCCTTACATGGAGGTCGCCATGTTACGTAGCCACGTTTCTACAGTAGCTGAAAACGGGTTAACGTCTCTACAGAGCGCGTTTCGTCACCATGTTGTTATTCTTCTTGTTGTATAATTCCGGCAGTGTAGACGCTCGTCAGTACGTTGAATACGTACAAAGTAGAAGAAGGGGAAATAATATCAATAATATACATGTCTGTGAGTAGTCATCTGGTTTATTAGAAGTAAGACGCAAAGTGAAATTTGGACAAATGGAGGAGCGCACATTATTTAGCACGAGCCGAGTGTGAATTTTTGTCTTCAAGGAAGCGAAAACACGATGAAGCCAGAAGAAGTCGGGACAGAAAAAAGTGCAGCTTACGTTTATTGGAAAATCAGCTGATCATATTATTGTCCATAGCTTACAGTATGAAAGCTCAGATAAATCAGCTAAACTTCCCGTTTAACACGTATTCATTTTTACTGCTAACGGCGTTACGATAACAAGATAGTGTGCCTGTCAAGTGACAAATAGTGCTTTCTTTCAGAATTTGAATTAAAAAAAACACATTTGTTTGTAGGATATTGCTTTGCTAAAAAATGACATTTTGGTAAAATTTGCAGTTTTAAACTAATTAAACAAAGCGAGAGGAGCCTTGATCCTCACCCGACAATGCCTTTGTAAACTTCATGTATTATGTGGTCTATAATGGACTGCGGTGCAGAAATAGTGAGGCTTACATTGACCCTCCCAGGATGTAAAATAATGTATTACAGTACAGTATGACTTCATTTATTGATTTATGTATTTAGCGGCTGTTGTTTGATGAACAAGTAACAATAATTTTTGCAATACCATATGGTTTTACTGAATAATTAAGTAAATCCATACATTCATCTATCGTCAACCGCTTATCCTGCGTACAGGGTCGCGGGGGGCTGGACAGGTCACAAGGCCATCGCAGGGCATAATTAAGTAAATATAAATTCTTAATATATTTATCTAAAGAAACCTCATTTCTTGACTTGCTACTCTTTACTGTCTCAGATGACGACACTTTTTGTCCTGTGTCGGCCACCGTTGCTATTCTAGTGCTTGGAAAGGGGGGAGGAGTGGTGAGTGAGAAATTTGTTACAATTTGCAACCCTCACCACTAGATGTCACTACAACTTACACACTTAACCTTAAGGTATAATAAATTGGACTTAGATCTACCTCCAATGACAACAAACTTCTTTAAATTCTTGCTCCCAAAACTATTTTAGAAAATAAACATATTACTGTTTAAAAGAGATGGTTCAATATTTAAAGTATCTCTAGGACTAAATGACTACATTAAAACTCCACAACAGGGTATCCAGCTCCTCATTAAGCATACCAGGGTCAGGGTAACAATGTTTAACATGAGTTTAACACAATTATATTATTATTATATTATTATAAAAGGAACTTTAGGCAGAAAGGTTACCTTAAATATTGTTGATCATATCAAACACACACCTGTTAGCTAACGCATGCTACCAACAGCCAGCTGCCAAAAACCCCAGTGTGTGGTAGTCTACTTGTACTTTTACCAGTATGGCATTCCGTCAGATTGGTCTGTCTAATGCTGGACCCAGAACAGCACAAGACCACGGTTCTAGGGAATCCAAATTGGCATATTAGCCAGTCATTATCATGGGCCAGGAAAGCTTTGTGCTGCCAGCACAGCCATCATGCAGCGTTACGCAGTATTTATGTTAACAGCAGTCAAACTGAGTACGTCACATCACGCCAAAATAAACGCGTCAGTCAGTGGTCTGCCCCAACCTGACATATCACTTGAAGGTGGAAGTTTGACAGGTGAACATTATGTCGGTTTTGTTAAGCTTGGCCTGCATCATGTTAAGATGATGAGGATGGAGTGTAGTGATTGTGTGAAAAGTCTCTAGCTTTATTTTCAGACGTTGCAAATTTACACAACCCATATGTGCAGGTGGTGAAGATGTGCCAGGTCTCTCTGCAGTCATTTTACAAAAACACTGTAACAACTAAAATCATACTTACTACTTAAATATGCACAGTATTAGATTAATACATTATTAACATAGCTCTATACTTTGATATTAAGGTAAATGAAAAGCGAGAGAGGCATCCTTATACAACCTAACTTCAACTCACTACCTCACCATCTGCATCACCAATTTCCCTTCTCCAAACTGTTCACACGCATTCCCTCCTCAAATTGTTTTTAATAAATCCCAATTTATTCTTACAAAATGGCGCCCGCACATTTCAAGCCCTTTTTTGTGCAGTTACAACTGAGGCCCCAGGTGTTTGGCAGACAGAGCTTTATCCTGAAAACAGCTGCCTGCTGTCACACTACACCTCACTTTACAAGCCCTGTATGCCACGGTTATATCCTGTATGTCCTCATTTTCATTTACTCAATATTACTGAATTAATATTAATTATCATTTTAAAGGCTTATTTTATTAATATTTTCTCCTGCCTCCTATTGTAGCAACACTGAAATTGAGCAGCTTCAGTGTATAATATGGGGCCACAGATCGTGACACGCATCAAAGAGGTGTAGTGATCGAGTGTTTTACCAGTTGATAGAAGGAAAGTTTGGGTCCGTCGTGGGCTGCCATAAACCACCAGGCAGCAGCTCCGACAGTGGCTGCTCCCACATAACCTGCAGTGGGGTGGGGGTGGGGGGGGTAAGGAGCACTTTGGTTTGTAACCTGCAGATTCTGTGCAGCAGGACATAATAGGCTCTTATACTGAATAAAAAATGTAGATATTTGTTCTGCATGTGGATTCAGACCCGGGCTCATGACTCACATCCGATGATGAGGTAGCGACAGAACAACCAACTGGAGATCAGAGGCTCTTTGGGGGAGCGGGGAGGGCGGGACATGATGTCCAGGTCTGGAGGGTTGAAGCCCAGAGCTGTTGCTGGGAAACCGTCAGTGACCAAGTTGACCCATAGCAGCTGGACTGGGATCAGCGCTTCAGGCATGCCCAGTGCGGCTGTCAAGAAAATACTGAGTAGGTAGCGGGGACAGATGGAAGAGAAGACAACAGTGAGAAATGTCTCTATCAGTCTTAGATAATATTTCTATAACTGTAGTACACCACTTGACTTTTATTGGCATTTTGATTTGACAGGACAGGGGATAGTGAGAGGAAAGAGGGAGAGAGATAGGGGGAGACAACAGGCTGGGGCCGCAGGCTGGATTCGAACCAAGGCCGCTGCATTAAGGACTTGTACGCTGAGCTAACGGAGCCCCGACACCTGACGTTCCTTAAGCTTTTAGACAAAATCTTCTGCATCCACTTATAGCAGCTCATTCACTAACCAGACCACCTCTCCTATGTTGGACGATATCAGGTATCTGATGAACTGTTTCATGTTGTTGTAAATGGCTCTGCCCTCCTCCACTGCAGCCACGATGGTGGAGAAGTTGTCATCAGCCAGGATCATCTCAGAGGCTGACTTGGCCACCGCCGTGCCGCTGCCCATCGCAATGCCGATCTCCGCTTTCTTCAAAGCTGGCGCGTCGTTCACCCCATCACCTGTCTGAAACCGTGCATGAATTTAGTGACATCATAGGAGTGTGCCACGGTAAGCGGAGCACTTCTGATTGTGTTTGAACACTTGACACTTCCTCTCTCTGCCAGAGTTTGAAGCAGAATTTGTCACAAAATCGCATTTGAATGCAACCAGGTCGAGTGGGCGGGGCTCTATATGGTGAATACTGAGTATAAACAGAACTATGATACTGCTTCAAGCACGCGGGCGGTCTTCTCACCATAGCAGTGATGTCGTTCAAGCTCTGCAGATACTCCACTATACGGCTCTTGTGCGCCGGCTCCACCCGGGCGAAGCAGCGTACCGTCCTGCAGGCCTGGCGTTGCATGTGAGGGGGCAGCTCGTCAAACTCCCGCCCCGTCAGGCCCCCGATGAGCCCTGCGCCCTCATGCTCCTCTTCCTGCTCTGTGATGATGCCTACCCTGCGACAGATGGACAGGGCCGTCCCTTTGTTGTCACCTGGAAAATTGAAGATGAAGAGGGATGAAGTGTGAGATTAATGCTCGTATGGGTTTGACCATATGTTATCACAGCTAAAGAAAGAGACAAAAACTACATCCGAGTTCAGCCCATTTCATACATCTAAGTAACAATATATCACAACCTCAAATTTCTTGTGGTCTTGAAATGGTAAATGTAGGCGTTTCCAACTATAACAAGATATTGTGAGAGAGATACTAGATATCCTTTTTGAATTATTATTTATTTTCATATCAACTTCACTATTTAAATGAACATTTTTTTAATCGCAATACTTAATTAAAAATGTCTGATTAACCTCTTAGCACTCCAACGGCCCGTCAGGTCCTGGCAGCAGCGATCGGTATGTGCACACAGATGCTATGTCAACTTCATGCTCATATGATCCACCGTTTGAAGCTTAAATCCTTGTGATTCGACCAATGCAAACCATTTCAAGATACAATCACCACAGCGGATCCAATCAGCGCCTCTGTCAGACCAGCCAGTACAAGCAAAAGTGACGCGACTCACCTGTGAAGCCTCACAGTAACTTAATCCACCGATCGATTATATTCCAACAAAAACAGTCTTGTTACGTTGTCAAAGGTCCAGATGATCCAATCCAGTAAAAACATTTAGATAACATTTATCTAAACATTTAAATAAATGAGTGTTTATTTACTTGCCAAACTTGTGGTGGTCGATTAACGTAATTATTTACACTCCGCTGGCTGCCATCGTGGCTGCAAACAGGTTATAGGTTCATTGTTAATCATGTAACGTTACAGTTTTATTTAGTTAACATTAGGCTACACTGGTTTGAGAGTCTGGTGACTTACAGTAGTTAATAAGCTTTCATTAGTTGCATTGCACGTTACATGGTTGTGCTCTGTTAAGTAAAAAACAGGTTACAGTTACAGAATTCCTTATAGCTCTGCAGTATTATAAGCAACCTGGATTGAATGCAGCAGCAGATACAACATTCATTATAACCAGGAGAGACTTGAGACTTGACTTGGACTCTAGCTCAGAAACTTGAGACTTGGACTCTTGCTCAGAGACTTGAGACTTGACTTGGACTCTAGCTCAGAAACTTGAGACTTGACTTGGACTCTAGCTCAGAGACTTGAGACTTGACTTGGACTCTAGCTCAGAGACTTGAGACTTGACTTGGACTCTAGCTCAGAGACTTGAGACTTGGACTCTTGCTCAGAGACTTGAGACTTGACTTGGACTCTAGCTCAGAAACTTGAGACTTGACTTGGACTCTAGCTCAGAGACTTGAGACTTGACTTGGACTCTAGCTCAGAGACTTGAGACTTGACTTGGACTCTAGCTCAGTGACTTTAGACTTGACTTGGACTCTAGCTCAGAGACTTGACTTGGACTCTAGCTCAGAGACTTGAGACTTGACTTGGACTCTAGCTCAGCGACTCGAGACTTGAGACTTGACTTGGACTCTAGCTCAGTGACTTGACTTGGACTCTAGCTCAGTGACTTGAGACTTGACTTGGACTCTAGCTCAGAAACTTGAGACTTGACTTGGACTCTAGCTCAGTGACTTGACTTGGACTCTAGCTCAGCGACTTGACTTGGACTCTAGCTCAGCGACTTGACTTGGACTCTAGCTCAGCAACTCGAGACTTGACTTGGACTCTAGCTCAGCAACTCGAGACTTGACCTCTAGCTCAGAGACTTGTGAGCATCTCTGCTGAGCGCTCCCAGAAGCAACAAACCCTTCGTCCCTCTGCATGATGCAGATCATACAGTCTCTACTGTTATTGTCTTACAGTTATCTGGTGTATTCAGAGAGGATACTGTATCTGTGTGAGTTAACGTACTAAGCATGTGCTTTTGTGCAAATATAGTGTACATTTAGCCGTGCGCGTGGTTGCGTGTGTGTGCAAGCTTACCTGTGATCATGATGACTCTTATGCCAGCCTGCCGACACATTCGGACTGCACTAAGAACCTCTTTCCTGGGGGGGTCCAACATGCCCACACAGCCCACAAAGGTCAGGTCCGTCTGAGGAGAGGGAAGAGATGGAGGGAAGGTGTAGAAGACAAGTATCACCACCAGGTCATTTAATTATTTAGAGTCACTGGTGAAGACTGACAGGAGAAGAGGTTCCAGTTCCTGGTCGGCAGGCAGAGCAGGATTTGACAATATAATGTACACTTTTTTGCCAAAAGTTTTGGGTCGCCTGCCTTAATAAATGAATAATTATCCCCCCCAACCCTCACCGGGACCTCAAACAAACCCAAGGTGTGAGCCCGAACCATGGCTCAAAAATCGAGGTCTGAACCGAACCGTGGATTTGGTTTATCGTTACACCCCTAGTCCACAAGGTTTAGGGGTGTGTTCATGGGAATTTTTGACCATTCTTGTAGAAGCGCATTTATGAGGTCAGGCACAGATGTTGGATGAGAAGGCCTGGCTTGGCTCGCAGTCTCCGCTCTAATTCATCCCAAAGGTGTTCGATTGGGTCGGGATCAGGACTCCGTGCAGGCCACTCAAGTTCCTCCAGACCAAACTCGCTCATCCATGTCTTTATGGACCTTGCTTTGTGCACTGGTGCGCAGTCGTGTTGGAATATGAAGGGGCCGTCCCCAAACTGTTGCCACAAAGTGGTGGTGATGGCGCATAGATAAGATGCTTGCTTTTGGTGTGGGAGACCTGAGTTCGATTCCCACTGTGAAAACATCCACCTTTGTGTCCCTGAGGCGTGCGACCTCTGACATGCATAGCAATTGTAAGTCGCTTTGGATAAAAGCGTCTGCTAAATGATTAAATGTAAATGCAACCTATCACGGTACCACGCTTGAGTTCACTGCGCTCCTGAGAGCGACACGTTCTTTCTGCAGCCTGGGTGCTTCATTTTCTACAGCTGTGGCCACGGAAGTGATTAGAACACCTGAATTCAATGATTCGGAGAGGTGTCCTAAAACTTTTGGCAATAAAGTGTATATCTTGCACCTGACCAACTTCATTTCACTTTTTAAAATGATCTGGACACCATGAGCTTGAGCACACTGTCTGGACTATGTGCCCTTTTTAAGAACATTTCATAACCATCGTCACTGCCACCCTCATCATCACCTCATAACCAGCAAAGGCAGCTGAGTTCTCCAGTTTGAGAGAGTGGATGTCAGGGGGTGTGTCCCTGGTTGCCATGGCGAGGCAACGCAGCATGTCTCGGCCCGATCCCCATTCCCGCAGAGTGGACAGGAGCTGCTCTCGAACTGCCGGACTCATTGGAACGCGAGCAGAGCCGCTGACCCGGATATGACTGCACCGCTCCAACACGCTCTCTGGAGCTCCCTGAGGAGAGACGGGGGGGGTGAAAGATGACGGTCTCTGCATCAACTGGGTAGCCAAATGTACCGCAGCGAGTGGTGTGTAACTCACCTTGACAAACATCTTGGCTCCAGAAGCAGACCTGGTGAGTTTGTTGGACAAACAGAAGACAGACATGGACTTCCTGTCTCTGGAAAACTCCAGCGTCAGCTCCTTCCGCATCAGCTGCTTAATCACCTAAAAAACAACCAATAAAACACAGAATGTAAAACAAGTATACACGGATCGATGTACGCATCGAGGCTTCAGCAAGTCCTGCGTAACGGACACAGAGGTGAGAAGCGATGATCGGGGCAACAGCACTGTCAACTTTCAATGTGCTTTATTGGCATGAATGTTTAGGTAAACAACAAAAAATATATTACTTGTCTCGTTACTGTGTTTCACATGGGCACACACTTACAGAGCAACACGCTGTAGCTCGCTCAGCAGGGCTCAGTCCTTTCAGGTCTGTGTCGAACACATTCATTTTCTCCACTAGACAGCAGAGGGCGGTCTCTGTTGCCTCCCCCACCTTCTCATATACACCCTTTGCCTGGAGTGCACACACACAAGCAGCAGTGGTTAAAGCACGCTGTGGACTGTCCTATTTACTGATCAGTATTTGCGGTGACACATATTCAGAATCAGTTTTCACTTGTAAATGTTCCAGAACCATATACGGTCATCTGCGACGGTCTGTGGCGTCTCCGCGGTCGTGTCTTACCTCATTGTAGTCCAGTGATGAGTCATTGCACAGTGCGCAGATGGAGGCCATCTCCACCAGGCCCTCATACTGACTGCACTTCACCACTGAGCCATCTTTATAACTGGAAAGCAGGAAGGAGAGGCCAAGACAGAGCAGAGAGGAGGGAAAGGTGGAGGGAACGCATACTAATTAGAACAAAAAGGAAGCAGAGATCATTTGTGGGCTCTCATAATCCAAACCCATCCATAATCCACAAACTGTCAGCGGTTAAGTAGGTTAAAGACACTCACACTTCCCCTTCAGGGGCGTAAGTAGATCCAGTCACTGTGAACTCGCTCTGTCTGCAGCGCTCTCCCGACACACTGTCTACAACAAACATCTGAACACACACACATGCACACACACGTTGACACACAGTGCAGTAGCATTAGTTTAATGATGTTAGAAGATCACACCTGAGGTCGCGAGGTGTAAGGCATGTCTTTCACACATGGACTTCACTTGGTATAAACCTGGTATTACGTTCTGTAATCAATATTACTGTATTATATCAACATATGAAGGCTAACTGAGGCCCCATGTCATCTTACCCTGCAGACTGACATCTGGTTAGTGGTCAGCGTTCCTGTCTTGTCAGAGCAGATGACAGAGGTACAACCCAACGTCTCCACTGACGGCAGACTGCGGACGATGGCGTTCTTCCTGGCCATCCTCCTGGTTCCCAGTGCCAGGCAGGTGGTGATGACTGCTGGGAGGCCTGGAAGAAAACACGATAGGCAGATGCTGGTGATGAGAAAGGGAAGGATTTGAACCTTTTCTGTCAGCCGGTGAACTTCTCCATTAGAGCAGTTGGGTTTCATGTGCTACAGTTATTTACACCCACATTTTGCCAGCTCTAAGAAGATATACAGACAGACAGACAGACAGGATGTTTGACCTTCTGGTATGGCAGCTACAGCCAGTGCGACAGCAATCTTGAAGTAGTAAACGGCTCCTCTCAGCCAGCTGCCTCCATGCACCGGGTCATTGAAGTGTCCCACATTGATGGCCCACACTGCCACACAGATCACACTGATGACCTGCAGGTTACAGCAACACACAGATATTCATTCTGCAGAGTCCAGAGTGACCCAGTGTGCTAAAATACACGCCGAACCGCAGAGGTCCTTGCCTTAGACAGCTGTTCTCCAAACTGGTCAAGTTTCTGTTGTAGCGGGGTCCTTTCAGGGTCGGTGGAGGCCATCTCATCTCGGATTTTCCCAATCTCTGTCTGCACCCCTGTCGCCACGACAACCCCAATGGCTCGCCCCGCTGCAATGTTGGTACCCTGGGCAAAGGTCATGATGGCGTAACTTTAGTGTCAAACTCGCGTATTTGTTTTCATCACAACAAACACTGTCAGCAGTGAGCGACCTGAGAGACGGTGAGTCTGATCTGTGTGTTTGTGAACGCTTTGTCTACTTTGTGTGCTTGGAGCCGTCAAACGGAAACCTGAAATTGAAGCGTATTGATTTCTTTCTCTTCTCTGACAGCAGGTTCTGAGAGAGTTCCCCTCACATCAGTGTGTGAAGTCACACTCAGAGAACCACGCCAACACAGACAACATGCAGGTCTGCAGCCTGTCAGAGTGGTGGCGCTAAATAAAACATCAATCCCCGTTGTTCTTTGACCACAGACCACCTGGCGACCCAGCAGCCTTTGAGGTCTGAGAGATAATACAACACACACGCCTCAGCCACGGTCGTTTTCTCTCTCACACGCTACAGTCAGGTGTCACGTGTAAGCCTACATAATATAATTCATCACATCTTCTTTGTAGTCCCATACTCTTCTCATCTATAGCACCCTTTAATCTTTTTTCAGTTTTTATTTCATTCAATATTTTTTATATTTTGTCATATTCTCCACATTTTCCCCAAAGAACAGACCTCACAGAAGATGCAGGAATGATGTACGTTACTGCACCATATAAAACCCCATACTGAACACGTTTTTAATAATGCATGAAATGTCTGACACCTTCTTCTAGTTAATTTCACCACGTCTGAAGTGTATTGCACCTTTTGTTTTATCCACCAAATGCATCTCTTCATTTTAGAGGAGCTCTTGAGTGCCTTGAAAAGTAGAAAAGACCTGTAACTCTGAGCAAATAAATGCTTTATGTCACTGCAGAGCTCGGTTTTTAGTTTCAGTGACTGCTGCGTCAGTAAGTAAGCACTAAATATATTCAGCTGTCAACAAAATGAATATGTGGTGTGCAGACTGTTGTTCAGGCAGACTGTATCTAAGGAAGGGTTAGAGTCCCCTTAGGGTTAGAGTCCCCTTAGGGTTAGAGTCCCCTTAGGGTTAGAGTCCCTACGTGTTAAAGGGTTAGAGTCCCTACGTGTTAAAGGGTTAGAGTCCCCTTAGGGTTAGAGTCCCTACGTGTTAAAGGGTTAGAGTCCCTACGTGTTAAAGGGTTAGAGTCCCCTTAGGGTTAGAGTCCCTACGTGTTAAAGGGTTAGAGTCCCCTTAGGGTTAGAGTCCCTACAAGTTAAAGGGTTAGAGTCCCTACGTGTTAAAGGGTTAGAGTCCCCTTAGGGTTAGAGTCCCTACGTGTTAAAGGGTTAGAGTCCCCTTAGGGTTAGAGTCCCTACGTGTTAAAGGGTTAGAGTCCCTACGTGTTAAAGGGTTAGAGTCCCCTTAGGGTTAGAGTCCCCTTAGGGTTAGAGTCCCCTTAGGGTTAGAGTCCCTACGTGTTAAAGGGTTAGAGTCCCTACGTGTTAAAGGGTTAGAGTCCCCTTAGGGTTAGAGTCCCCTTAGGGTTAGAGTCCCCTTAGGGTTAGAGTCCCCTTAGGGTTAGAGTCCCTACGTGTTAAAGGGTTAGAATCCCCTTAGGGTTAGAGTCCCTACGTGTTAAAGGGTTAGAGTCCCTACGTGTTAAAGGGTTAGAGTCCCCTTAGGGTTAGAGTCCCTAAGTAACTAAAGGGGGGATAGAGTGGGAGATGGGGAATCAAAGGAGTAAAATAAGCAAAGGTGGGAAACCTGCCTGTTTTTATTTTCTATTTAACTTTTAAACTTTTTTATATTTCCCTGTTGCTTTTATGTTTTATGTAAAGCACTTTGAATTAGCTTGTTGTTGAAATGTATACAAATAAACTTTCCCTGCCTAGGTGGAGATATAAGGTAAATAATGTAATGTACTTTTGTTCAAGCGCTGTACTTAAAGCATAAAGTTGGCTTATTAAAAGACCTTCCCTTCCCTGAGTGTGGTTCTCAGTTCCATGCCCTCTGATAGTTTCATTTTAAAAAAGAATGTCTCGCTGTAGTTTTATCAAACAAACGGGAGGAAACAGTTGATTTGTTGGGGGCTATTTTCAGAGCGGGATGAATCCACATGTGGTGCTCTAGTGAGTATTAGGACGGTTGTATGTGGGACTGAGTCAGAATAAACTACAGTGTGTGTGTTTATTGTGATGAAGGCAGCAGTGAGACTCACTGATACTGAAAACAACAAAAATATAGAATATTGTTACTTTATCCTTCAAATGTAATTGAAATACTTTAACACATGGCTTGACTTTGGCAGTGTGTTTACTGTTAAATGCGTGTGAATTAAAAAAAGATGTAACAAATTTCATTCCTACAACACACAAAGCCACAGGCAGATACGGTTGTTGAGACTCACAGAGAAGAGCATGTTCTTCTTGTCCTGGTTGACAGCTCGAGGATCTGGTACAGGGTCTGTGTGTTTGAGCACTGACACAGACTCCCCGGTCAGAATGGACTGGTCCACCCTCAGAGTGGTGGAACAGATGGACGTCAGCCTGATGTCAGCTGGGACCTTATCACCGACTGGGGGGGTGTTGAGAGCAGAGGCAAATAAACTCATCTTAATTTCACTTTTCATTTTTGTGTGTAGTTTAGGATTACGACAAATGTGTTAGCATTCAATGCTGTATTTACACTTTATTTAAAAATCCTGTATAAATGTAGCATGAAAAATTCTTATAAACTCTTTTATACATCATGTAATACTTTTATAAAGCTTTAACATAGATTAAAGTTGTATAAAAGTACATCCACATCACAACAAAAGCATGCACAGTCATTACAACCGCTGTTTATTTTGGAGTTAAAACACAGAGAGTCGAACTGACGATTTGATCAAAAAATTCAATCCAACCATCTAATGAAAGAGGTGTAATGGTACCCACACACCAAAAACAGGTACAACTGTTCCCCCCTAAATATCTAGTTTGGCAGACATGTCCTGGACTTCACTCCTCACTCTGCTACTGGTCCCACACCACAGATACTGTGGCTCCAACAAGCAAAACACTTCACTTTCCCCTTTCAGTGAAAGCTGCAAGTTGTGAACTTGCTCCTGCACGTGCTACAGCAGTAGTGATACTTTCGTCAGACGATTCGTCGACAACCTTTTTTTCCCCTGACGAAAAAACGAGACGGCGACAACGCCCTAAACGCTGACTGTGACTGAGTATTGTTGACAAAAAATGAGACTAAAATGTGATTCATAAAATAAAAACGTTAATAAAATAGCTCTTTCTTTTTTTCAGAACAATGAGGAGACAAAATATTACAGGCCGTATTTTCTCCCTCTAAATTTCCTGTGCTTTGAATGCTGGTCGCCCGGGGCGACGCCTCTGTGGAGGATGTGAACTCTGGTGATGAACACAACATGCTGGGGAGAAAGAGGCGCTTAGACATCAGCTCCCCTAAAAGCGTGATTTGTGATATTTCAGGGGTCTCTAAAATATTGACAGCTGCTTTATTGCCATTAATCACCATATTTCTCTGTCATCATGGATCAAGCGGAGCGTCAGACTTGAGGCAGCCAGAGGGAACGATCACCGACCGCCGTTGTGTGAAGCGTGAAGCGTGTAGCAAAATGGCCACATGTGAAAATATTATTATTATTATAATAAGACAAACATGCCAGAGACTTCCACCGTCAGCCCCAGGCCGACATGCTTGCAGCTATTAGTGATTCAGCAGTAAGAATCACAGTTGGTCCCCCTCCTCCCCCGTCACGGGAACAAAAATTGATCTCCCTGAAAGCTATGTATAGTTCACACACTGATGTGGACCAAACTGCTAATCAAAATTATACTAATGAGTTAGACAAGACCAAAATGATGGTTAATGACTAAAACTAGACTAAAATACTTTTGATTTTCTTTTGACCTAAATACCCAGACTATTAGTCAGCTTAAAATTAAAAAATAGCATTCAGTGGACTAAATATGACACAAACTAACAAGGACATTTGACACAGGACTGAGACTAAGACTACATTTTAGATTCGCTGACACAGTGTAGCCTTGAATACCTACATATGTGGAAATTACACTATTGACCAATATGGTTTGTCCCAGGTCAGAACTAAAAGCTACAAAACCCTCTTTACAGGACATGCAGCTGGTTCAGAAGCTTGCCACCATCTGACCTGCTCTGCCATCATGTCGCATACACACATGCGTGGTTTTCAACTTTTCCTCCTTTTCAGATTTTACGATTATTCCCACGGCCGTAAAGAGCATAGACTGTGTGTTTCTTATTTTTGTATAACATCTTCATTGTATTGACCAGAGGTGGCCAAACATTTCTGATTGTGGGCCATACAAGTAAGTATTCTAAGTTAATAATTATTTCTATGTGCATATAAACTTGAATGCTCATTAGAGTTAATCATTTCCAGCTGATAATGTGTTTGTGTAGTGAGGGAGGTGTGGAGAAAGTGAATCACACCTTATATCAAGGTGTGCATGATTATTAGGCAGCTTCATTACCTCGGGTAAAATGGGCCACAAAAGAGGTTTAATTTACACTGAAATGTCAAAGATTTGTAAAATGCCTTTCAGACAGAAGCGACGTTTTGTTGCGAACAGTAAATAAAATAATTCAATGTGTTCCCCCCGAGATTCCAGGAGGTAACCATGTGTTAATGACATCGGGAAACATGCTTTATTCAAATAAGGACAGACATAAAGTATTAGCATTCTTTCTTTTGGAGGCGCACAGCTGTTCATACACTGCTTACAAGTGTGTTTATATGTGAGTGAGTCAGAGAAACCCAAAGAGAGCAGAGGGAATTAAAGAAAGAAAGGCACTGACTAGTTCGAGGACATGTTGGAGAGAGATTCCTCCCTCCAGCAGTCTGCAACAACTGAGCATTCAATGCAAAACAACTTTCTTTTTGACATATTAATAGTAAGAATTCATTAAAACTACTTGCCTCCCTAGAATTGTATTTTAAGTATTAACTTTTTTACAACTTATTTTGAATATGTTACGTCCCGTACCTAAGTTATTCAGAATTTGTTGCAGTCCTGTTGTCAGCTGTATTGTAATGAACTAATATTATATTATACATATTACTGTTTTAACGTTTCTATTCAATAAAGTGGTGGAAAAAACGGGTCACTTTCAAAAAGTCTTTGCTGTTGATGCATTCTCAGGTCATATCAATAAACTAATATTGGTATGGTGATGAGGTACCATTGCTTCCAGGCACTGGTTATTCATAAAAGGTGCACTTATTTTAAAGTAACTCTGGGGGAAGTTAATGTACAGTTAGCATTTCCCATGTTAAGGATAGAATATGGCATTTGTTGTATAGACTGTAAAGGACTTGAGGGAAATTTTGGGCGATATAAATCAAACTGACATGACCTGACTGTCCAGCAATGAAAAATCTCATCCATGTTGGTCCATTTCTTTTGCCCATTTTTCTGACTCTGGGGCAGGAACATTAACTCTTAAGGCTAAATGACCTTCAGCGTCGGTTGAACACAACTTGCCGTCTTGTGACGGGAGTAAATGTAAATGCTCTGTATAGCACCTTTCTAGTCTATTTGACCACTCAAAGCGCTTTTACACTACATCTGCATTCACCATTCATACACATTAATGGGAACTGTTGGGCTTCTGTAAATCACAGAGTACGGTCTAGACCTGCTCTTTTATGAAAAGCGCTGTGAGATAACTGCTGTTGTGATTTGGCGCTATATAAATAAAATTGAATTAACACACCTAAGCGCTTAGAAACTAACATCCACACAAATTCATACACTGGTGGAACAGCCCCCGGAGATAATTCAGGGTTCAGCATCTTGCCCAAGGACACTTTGACATGCAGGCTGGAGGAGCCAGGAATTGAACCACCGACCTCCCGATTAACAGGCAACCCGCTCTACCTCCTGAGCCACAGCCGGAGTCGTGAGGCGGTGACAGGGGGTCACGCACTACACGAGCTGACAGCGGCTATGTCGCCCGACGTGGTCTCCAAACCACGATTTGTCAAGAAAACACACGTGAAATGTGAAACGTGAAATGACGCGAACCTACAGACGAAACCGCTGTTTGTTATTATAAAGATGGCAACCACAATATAACGACTGGCGACCGCCGATCGATCACCGATTTACCCCCGATCACAGCCCGGCTGACACCGAGCTCGCACATCGGGCTTATAATCGTGTAGTGTGAACTAAGCTTTAGAGTAGGTCCACACCAAGCTGGTTAAACAGAAAAGTTACACTGTTTAAAAAACTGCCGGTCTGCAGAGTAACGCTTAGGATGACAAGAATGCATCACTGGACAAAACAGTGATCACATCAACTTGCAATAATGATCAACACGTCTTCGTATTGGTCCCAACAGGTCAGAAGAAGAAGCGAATATGACAGTAACAGTAAGTCATATTTAGCACAGCCTGTAGCTTTGTCCTGTTGTTCCAGCTCTGATTAGTGTCACTGAGTTCCCATGCTCTGGAAGCCGAACATTTTTTATATAGACACACACATACCTCTAACCCTGTTTCATCTCTCCGAGGACCCTGAAATAGCAGTGGGTATCTCACGATTCTACAGGGTTCTTACTGGCTCAAGATAAACTCGTGTGTGTGTGTGTGTGTGTGTGTGCAGGCTGTTACTACAAGCTGGACTGATTTTATGAGTGGATACAACTGACCTCAACATGAATCCTCAAATACAAAACATTTCTCACATGGACAACTGTTCACTGTATAAAAAGCCAGACCAGGAGGATGAGGTCCCATCTGGTCTGAACTGCTGTATCTGACAAGAGAAAAAATATTTAGAAGCACTGTGAGATGTTGAAAGCAGTTGTGTTGACCAGGTTAGATTTTCCATCTCCTCTCGTGTGATTGGTCCCAGTGGTGGCAAATCAGAGGCTATCCTGCACAACCTTCACAACCACACAGAAAAGCCAGAGCACTAAATCCAAACGCTGGCAGACACAAGCACCATAAAACTCTAAATGCACTCGAAACACTTAAAGAGAAAATATGGTTGCACTCAAAAAACACAAAGTGGTTGAAAAAGGTTTACACACAAGCTCAATGGCACATACAGCACATGTTAGACAGACCCTCTGTTCCGGTCATGTATTTAAACTTTCATGAATCTATACTGCAAAACATGTTTAGCTTTGAGATGCACTCCAATCAAATATTTTAATATAAGTTATTTTTTGTGTCTCTGCCTGGGTTTCCATGACGACAGCAGCCAGAGGAGAGGGCAGAGACGTACCGGCAGACACGCGGATCAAGATGTTTGCCAAGAATGACTAAACAAAGATGCTACAGTGCATTTCAACAATGTATAAACAACCATGCAGTGGACATGCACTGCGCTCCTGGCACTACCGCACACACAGCACTTCATAAGTGTCTATGTAAAAACATGTTGGGGCTATTATTCAGTTTAGTCTGGAATGATTGATGAACTAATCAGTGTCATAACTGAATAAATCTGTTGAGAGAGTGACCTTTGCATCCCAAAAAAAAATTTAAATAGTGGAGCCTCTACAAGATGGTTTAGGTCTGTAAACACAGCCAATGGAGCAGAGCGACAGAGCGGTCTTTCCCCCAAGAAAGGGAAATTAGGGATACCAAAAGAAACAAGTTTTGCTTTTTAAACAAAAGAAAGCTACAACTCGTTTAAGAATGGGTTAAGCTATTATCAGCAGTCGTTCAGACTGAAGACAGTCAGACAGGAATTTGCATTCATTTAACTTTGGAGCACGTTTTAGCCCTTTTACCAGTAAGCTAGCATGACGCCCGCAACAACCTTCAACAGACAGGAATGTTAATGCCAGATGCAGAGGTGGAAAGTAAAAAATTACAACTACTCACGTTACTGTAATTGAGTAATTTATTTGTGTACCGACAGTAGTTTTTTGTAGGATTGTACTTCGCTACATTTTCAATCACATCCGTAAATAAAAAAAGGGCAAAGAAAAACCCGTGACCACTTTGGCTTCAAGTGCAGAGAACAGCAGCTTCATGACGCAGTGCCAGCTGTGAAAAAATACTTTACTAAGTTACTGCTAATGCAAACTGACATTTCCTGCTGCTACAGCTTCACATTAAAAGCATTTAACTGATGAAACACAGGTTGACTTTTATTTTGAAGTAGTCACAGGAAATGCTATCTGTTTGTAAGTGAGATTAACACTCTCATTCATCAAAAATGCAGCTGTACATAACGATTACGACAACTATATCGACAACTAGTCGATTAATCTGACGACTACTTTTGTGTCCTCTAAAGAAAAAACAGTGGCCTATTACTCGATTAACATACCAGTTTTCAGCCAGTCGCAGATAATCTGTAATGTTACTTTCAGCTGTTAAATAAACAGAAAATATGAAACGACCGAACGTTAGATGACACGCGGTGAAACGTTACGTTAGCATGACAGCAGCACGGCAGAAATGACTTTTCAACATGAAGGCGATGAAGAAATACATTTTAACGGACTGATAACGTGCCGTGCTCGTGTGGAGACAGAAAGTAAACAGGATTTGCACGCCGGGATACTTTCGCTTCACGTGTTCATGCTGCTTCACGTGTTGAGCTGGCGCTTGTGCAAGGGAATCCCACTACACCGGACGCAGCACGTAAGGTGAGTCGACCTATTTACATAATCGATTACGCCAACGAATCGCCCCAGCCCTAGACAATAAGCTGCTCCCCGTCCACTTCCTCGTTCTTTAGCGGCTCCCCGGCGCTCGCCAGGTCCTCTCCAAGAAACGCTCTGAAGCCACCTGTGACGTTTGGACAATCTCACCGCTGATAGGCTTTCGCAACATCGCGTCAAGCGAATTTTTCGCCCAAGTTCAAAAATTTGAACTTGCGCGAACCAGCGGATGTCGCGACAAACGCCTCATTCGCGCCGCGCAGAGCGAATTCGCGTCTTTGCATTGACTTTGTGATCAAGCCGCCCAAAACGCTGGATTCACTTTCGGTGTGAACACAGCTTAATATGGCAATTATTTCAGATTAAAAAACGTTTACTCTGAGTAAATTTTAAATGAGCTACTTTTTACTTTTACTTGAGTAGATTTTCAGACCAGTAACTTTACTTGTACTTAAGTAAAATTTCATCAAAGTAATTGTACTTTAATTAAGTAGATTATTTTTATTCTCTTTCCAGATGAGCCACCATCATTTTCAGAGGGTTAAAAGAAGGACAAGTAACCGAGACCTGAGGAGGAGAGCAATTCCAACTTTTACATCATACTGCTACTGGTGCGTTATTCAGATGAAATTGTTTTTTTTATAAAAACAAGAACGCTCCCTTGGAGAGCAAAAAAGACGTTATTTCCCACTGCCTGCCCACTAGGAAGTGGTCTTACTTTGAGTTTGTTACTTTTGTAAGCAAACAGCAGCGTAGCAGCGAGCCGGCACACTACTGGAAAAAAAGTCTATAGACAGACAGGGAGACAGCTTCACACAGCATGCTGTGAACTCCCACTGCAACAGTAATAGTTGAACTAATCCATGTTGGTTACACGATAACGTTCCACTTACTGCAGTTAGTGCCACATCGTTAGCTCGCCTTCTGCTTTCAGTAACCATCTTTACTATCTGTGTGTCTTTCACTGGAGGCTCAGCAATGTGAGCACAGCTAAATGTACTGGATAATAACGAAACGGTTAGTGAGCTGGACTGAATATTATAACCAGATTGTGTCCACTCTTTATAACAGTCCGACCGCTGGATGGCTCTTCCTCTGTGTTGTTGTGACCGTTTTGTTGCAGTGTTGTATATCGTGTGGGTCACGTTACAGCGACTGAGGTGGAGAAGCTGTGTACCTGAGTATCGGTAAAACCACAACAAATCTAAATTAAATGTTAGTAAGCAAACAGCTATAGATCCGAGCTAATGTAGCGTTAGCTGGCTGCCCCGCCTTGCATCACTAGAGGCTCCACATTTGCTTTTTACCGTTACATAATTTCTTGCAGGCTAATCCCGGACTCACATAGGCGCCGCAACGCGCCCCAGGAGTGCAGACTCCCGATCGTATATCAACAATAAACACGGTTAAAACAGAACAAAAAAAGAAACAATTTCAATATGTAGCCTTCTTAACCAGGGTAGAAGCACAAAAATCAAGAACAACTTACCAAATTAACTAAATCTAAACAAGTCAGCAAAGTCAGGCAGGCAAGCTCTGCGTGACTTTCTGATGTGACTGTTTTCACCGACATCATCTGAATCTGTTAGGTCTGACAGGCTTCAGCACATTTTACCTTTATTGTTGTCTTGTATAATTACGTGGAGCCGGTTGTTTTGTGGCGTTAGTTGTCGCTGTAGTCAGAGAGAGGCTCGGGAGCGCGCACAGGGCTGAATCCGACCCTGCGTCCTCACATTAAAAGCAGAAAAGTGACGGAGAAAACAGGAGTGTGCTTCATTTCTGAGTGAGGTTAGAGCCCACTGACAATAAGGCAGTGAAAATTCGATTTATTAATAAGTAATTTCAGTGAAAAACTACATATAGCCCCTTTAACAACTGGCCTGTTGAAGTAGTGAAACATTTTACATAACTGATCACACTTTTAATGTAAACTCAAAGAGTATTTTTAAGAGAGCCATCCATTCAGAAGCTGGGGAGCTTTGGGGTCAGCCAGCACATGAGATGGCATATAGGGGCCAGATAGAAAGCATCTTACAGTTTAATATAGCAGCTTGGTATGGCAACCTGAATGTGAAAGACAAAAACAAGATTTCCAAAATTGTTAATATTGCGGGAAAAGTGACTGGCAAGCCACAAAAGCAGCTTGGTGACGTATTAGACAGTGCGGTACTCAGGAAGGCCAGACAGATATCTGCAGACGCCTTACACCCACTGAACTCCCATCTGGCAGTCGATTCAGGGTCCCAAGAGCGAGCCGGAACACCTAGAAGAGATCTTTTATTTCCCATGCCATGCAGGCACTGAATGCAAAATGACAGCACTTTTAAATGTGTTTTTGTAGGCTGTAACCTTATTTCCATTGTTTTGTTTATGGCACAATTGTTGTTGTATATTTATGATAGTACAGTGTTGTACTCTTAACTGTGTGTATTTTTAATGGGTGATAAATGTGGTGTCATTGTTGTATTTTTGTTTGGAGAAGTCGACGATCAATTTCCACCAAGATGGACAATAAAGGCTAAAAATAATAATCGGGTCGGATTTTCTGCATGCACGCTCCGAGCCTCTTGCAGACTCTGAATCTGAGCCATACACATAGCAACAACAAAATGGTGTCCACTAACACCAAAAAATGACACACAGACTCCGACACAAACTCCGTTTAAGGATAAAAAACGATCTCAAAGCATCTGAGTTACTGCCTCTGCACACACATCACTACAGCCTCTTCTAGCTAGCACTGACACGGTGTTCCACTTTTGGCGTGCCCTGCAGCCATCAGGTCATTTTACAGATGGGTCCTGTTTTTGAACCTCCCCGCTTTGTAGACTTCTTCACTCTTTATGCTACGTCACCTGACGTCCTAAAGGCTTTGTGAAATTTACCAGCTTTTCCAAACAATTAGTCACTCTTTAACACAACAGATTTTTAAGCCGGTCCTGGTATATTTGCTGTTGAAGAGTCAAGCGTTACCGACTCGTGCGTGCATGTGCGAGAGTTTGCAAATCTAGCGTCCCCATCGAGAAACTACAAAGACTGCTTTTTCCTCTGTTGCGCCAGTCATTTTTCTGAACTGCGAAGGTGAACTATTCCCTCATGTGGTATAAAAAGTAATATATACATGAGCTGGAGCTACTGTTAAATGTCCTCATTGGAATCCCTTGACAGAGAAGACCAACTTGAACTGAAGTATCTCTTTCAACTGTTTAATACTAAGGCAGTAGTAGTAAGCAGAGGGTTTTGCTATCAACCACAACATCCTCTACTTCTTGTAATGCTATTTGTCAACTTACCAGCGACTTCCACGATGTCTCCAGGAACAATGTCTCGGGCTCTGACTCTCTGGACACTTTTCTTGTCCTGTCGGTACACCTTGCCCATCTCTGGCTCGTACTCCTTCAGGGCCTCAATGGCATTCTCTGCGTTGCGCTCCTGGAGGACACGGGAACACAGAAAGGTTCTCTGAGTTTCTTTCAATTTCTGGTAGAAAAATCTCTTCCGGCATGGTTTCTTTCAAGTGAACACAACGGGCCAGATTTACTAAAGGTCTGCCTGGTATTGTAGCATCTGTTATGGGCGATTTACTAAGAATTACTGCAGAGATGACAACGGGAGCAAACACAGTTCCGGCTGGTTGAATTTTACACCTGATCCGTGCACTGCTGCAGCTGGGGGCTCTCCACAGCGCCACGCAACTTTCTAAACTCTTCCATCTCACGGAGAAAAGAAGGTATAGAATAATCTTATCTAATATTGTTCATTTCTCTGCGTCTTCTTTCATCACGTCTGTGTCTCCTTCTCCAACCATAACAGCAGCCATCTCTGCAGCTTCCTTTCAAACGTATCAAACACAGAAGCTGCTGCACTCACAGGAAATTGCCTTTAGGCCGGTTAGATCACACTGCGTGTAGTAAATAAATGTATTTGTAAGTTACGCCCCAAACTGCATATTCATTAAGGCCAAAGTAGTAAATGAACAACAGCTGCTGTCTTGCACTTTCGGGAGACGTCATTCGCACCGTTAGCAGATCAGCTTACGTGTTAATTTGCTGGTGATATCACGTTTGCACACGTTTTTACTCACGCAGACCTTTAGGAAATCCAGGCCAAAGAGAGCCGGGAAGAGGACACAGTATTATAGAGCATGAGATCTTGCGAAGCCAGGCCGTTCTGTTTTACAGGGGAAATGGTTGTAGCCACTGCAGCTGACGTCATCTACTCACAGCTTCCGAAACATTCTGTACCTACTACTCATTTCAACATCAAAATATGTGAAATGGGGTTTCACAAATTCTGAAACTATTCTGCAAGAGTAATTGAGTATGCAGTATTCCTGAAAGCAGAAGTCAACCTCAAAACCTCAAAAGACAAGAACAGAAAACCAGCCTCCACAGACCGTGCATTTAAATGCTCACCTGTTAGTATAACGCAATCCAGTTCTACAGCACCTTACATTGCAGACTCCATTATGATGAATCAACACCTCTAAAACAGTTTCAACAAAGAACGAACATTCATTCCAAAGGTTTAGCTAGGTGGACCTAAAAAGCTGACAACTGAGCGTAGGACCGCTCAACTTAAGGGCCCTAAGACACATAGATGAAAACACACACTGGGCCTACGAATCTAATCTAATAATCTGATTCAGTTTAGTAGGGCATAGGGAGATTTAGTAGGAAGAAGAAAGACACACAAAGCCCATGTGTTAGTACTAGTTAAAAAGAAGAAGGAGCAGAATGGCTTGGGTTCAGATAACCTCACCGGACTCCACCGCGTCCCCGAAAAGATGACTTCATCCTGCCACATAAAAGCTGCCCAGACAGACGCAGTTAGTCCGCTCAGCTGGCAGCTTAGAGAACCTTGTGAATTTCATTAAAACTGTAAATATCTATACATTCTTGATTAAAAGCCATGTGAAATCTCTTTTCCCTTTCGTCTCCTCAATTAGTGTGTGTTTCCAAAACATCTCTGGTGAATCTCGCGCGCTCGACTCAACCTAAGCAACTAATCTTTTTCCCCACTACTAACACACACACACACACAAAGACAAGCCTCGCTGTAACCTTCCTCTGTTCCAGGATGAACTTTCCTTATAAGCCGTTCAGTCGCTCACTTGAAAAACAGTGATCGGTCTCAGTCAGACCAAATGAATCCAGGCTCGGCTTTAATTTAAATCCAGCAAGTAACAACATAATTCTGGTAGACTGCAACCTTGCGTATTTCCCCTACATGTGGCCATAGTGGCTCTCTGTCACGCTAACTTTGCACTCATCACCTCTGTTCTAGAGATTCGGGGGAAACGTGCGCTGGGGGAAGCTGCACGAGCCTCACAGAGCTTCTAAAATAAAGACGAATCATAGTAGCACCCTCGTATATCCATGGAGGAACTTTGTAGTTTATCTCTGAAAGGTAGAATATAGCATAAAGCCTGATACGGCCTGATCACATTCAGTGCATAACTGGTGAAATCTACACTCCCGTTAACTCCTTGTGTCAAGTAGAAATGTAGCTTGAAGCTATTCTGTTTTACATTAGAGGCGTAAAATAATACATTTGGGGAATCTTTGGGTTGATTAAAACATTTTCACACATCATAACAACGTTTTAAGACTCATTAATATAATATTAATTGCCTTGATATATGATTGTCAGTCTACAAAACCTTCACACACGCTGTTTACCTGCCACACTCCTACAATGGCATTGGCGATGAGGATGAGGAGGATGACTAAGGGTTCAACAAAGGCTGTGATTGTCCCGACCCCTTCTTCGAACCAAGCCAGGGTCTGTGAGACAAAAGACAAGATGTGTGTTCACTGTGGCTCTGGGTTCCAAAGTGCTTTACAGGGATGGAGGCAGCATTATAATAATAATAACTTTATTTGTATAGCACTTTTCAAAACCAAGTGCTGTACAGTGAAACAAACATGATCCATACTTAAAAATCTAAATGAAAATAAAATAAATCAATAAAATCAGCATTAATAAAACAAACAACAACAACAACAATAATAATAATAATAATAATAATAATAATTATTATTATATTATTATTATAAATTAATAATAATTATAAAGCGACAAAAACAGTTCAAAACAACAGTTACAAAGGTTAAAAGGAGCATTAAAAGAGCAAACAATTGCTCAATAAAAATAGAAACAATAAAAACCAAACAATCCCAGGGCGAGCATGAGAACTCATGTACAGAAACGCACAGTCCAGACCAACTCCTGATTACTTGTATTTGTGATTGCGTATGTGTTTACATGTGTTGTGTTTCCTTACAAAGGAGATGCACGCAGCCAGCAGCAAGATTCGCACCAACAGATCCTCAAACTGCTCCAGGACCAGTTGCCAGAGTGACTTCCCTGCACAGGGAACACAATGAGCATAAAGAAAAAAAGACAGACTTTGATTTAGACGAGCTCATGATGACGAAAGAAAGAAAAGAAAGAGAACAGGACATCATAAAACAGATAGCTCACCCTCTTCAGCTGGCAATTCTGTGAGTAAAGAAAGAGTGAAAGCAGAGAGGACAGAGGAAAAGAAAAAGACATCATCAGCCCTGGTGCTTGGTTTCAGCAGGGATCAGTTATTTTTTGCTAACACTTGAACACTGTGCAGATACTTAAAACAATATATAAAGGATATGTCGCAGATTGACAGCACAGTACAGTAAATGTACACAATCCATCAATGAGAATCCTTCAGCATTTTATTATAATGATGGTTATCAGTTTTGTTCCTCAGCATCACAGCCATTTAAACATTGTCACTACTGTGCGGCTACAGTGATCAGCCAGCTTGTTTGGAAGAAATTTAACTTGTACCATTGGGTCCCCATCTCTCCCTGTTCTTCTTCAGCTGCTCGCAGCTCAGACCTGTGGACTCATTTACGCTGAAGAAGCCCAAAACCTCCTCCACCGTCTTCGTGTGAGCATTATCCATCACTATGAAGGCAGAAGGAGAGAGAACATCAACAACCTTCTTCGGAACGGAAATATCACAGTCGGTCTTCAAAAGAATCATCCTTCTTCACAGCCTGGATAAAAACTTCCTCCTGGAGGATAATAGCAAACATTATTTTGTGTTTATTTTATTTAATTTCCCACATCTTAAAGGTCCAGTGTGTGATTTTTCTGAGGATCTATTGACAGGAATGCAAAATAAGATCCTGTGGTGTATAAAGACCTTCCATAAAGAACCGTTATGACATTTATATCTACATAACCGCGGGTCTATGCCATTTAAGGGAGAGATTGCAATCTTTATATCAGGAACATTTCTGGTTGTTTATTTCTAACTGCAGTGCGCTACAGGGGGCAGCACAGCTTCCACTGCTTGACTGTAAGACTGCTCACCAAGAAGATGCATTCATGCGAGAAGCGGAAAGTAACGGAGAAAGAGGCGACCAGCAGAACGGCTTTTGTTTTTACAAGTTTTGTACGCTTTTGAATCACTAAATACACTTTTGAGCGGTTCTGAGACGAGAAATCAACTGTCAGCAGTTTTACCAAAGTTGATGGCGAATCGAAAATGTGCTCAAACGTTTTCGGTGTTGAGAAGCTGCACAAGTGGGGTTACTGGAAAACATTGTCGTCTGATAGGTCACAGATTTTGGTGTGACACCGGCCGGTGCCAGTCCCGCCCACAGAGCGCTCTGGTCCCAGTTACCACTGCAGCAGAGGGAAGGCAGTGTTTCCTATACGTTCATTTATTTGTGGCGGCCCGCCACAATAACAACGCTGCCCGCCACATACTGATTTTAGTTTTTATTTTATTTTACCAGGCCTATTTAAAATCTTATTTGATTGCAGATGAGCGCCGTGGCAGATCAGTCGACTATGAAAATAGTCATTTACCATTTAGTTTTTCTGAAGACACTTTTTGTCCTGTGTCGGCTACCGTTGTATCCTACGCGCTTCGAAATGGGGAGGGAGTGGCGAGTGAGCAATTCGCAACTCTCACCACTAGATGTCACTAAAACCTACACACTTTAAAACACCTGCTACTGGAATCCTTGCAATATTCCAATGCAGAGGTCACTAATAGGCGGACCGCGGTCCGGATCCGGACCCAGCCGCTGTCCCCCCACCGGACCGCCGACCTACAGCAGATTTATTATTGAGACTCACCCCCTCGTGACGGAGCGTTTCTATTTTAACCCGCGCAGCTTTTCTTGCATTTACTGTACTTGTTTAGCGGCCCAGGAAACTCACAGGCCAATCGCATGTGCTCCAATCGTCTCATGTGACGCTGCTCAGCCAATCAAATCTGTGCATTGACGCTTGCGAGTCGAGTCCGCGAGATTCACCAGAGACGTTTTGGAAACACACACGAATTGAGGAGACGAAAGATTTAATCAATTTTCGCTGTGCACTCTAAACCCATTGATGATTAAAAGTTGTACAAACGGTTATTATCAGTCGACCAGTTTGCCCGTGGCGTGCTGTCAAAAATCGATGATTCGCCATGAAACAGGAAGTTGTTGTAACTTCAGCATGCATGCTCACATCTGCACCAAATTTGGAATACATTATAAGAGTCGCGCCCTGAACACACCCACATGCCAATATTCACTCAAAGACATAGCGCCACCTGCTGGCAACAGGAAATGACACGTTTTATGTTGTAATGTACTGCTACTGTCCCAGAAAGCCCTCAACACATCGATGAAGCCTTGTTGTAAAACTCATGAGTTTGCAGTTAATGGCGTGTCCGTGGCGTGGCGGCAAATTCCACGCTTCGCCATGACACAGGAAGTTGTTGTAACTTGACTGTACATGATCAGATCAGATCAGATTTACACGTTTATTAAGAGTCCCGCCCTGATCACATGTACATGCCGACATTCACAAACAGTCGCAGCGCCACCTGCTGGCAACAGGAAGCGACCTTTAATGAAGCAGCCCCCACAGCACGGTTTACCTACACGAAATTTCTGTGGCACATGTATCATGTCCACAAGTACCAAAAAGCCTCTTGGATCGATGCCCTAAACCCAACAGGAAGTCGGCCATTTTGAATTTTGTGGTAATTTTGGGATGATTTACACACTCCGTACTTTAACGAACTCCTGTTACAGAATTAGTCCGACCGACTTCAGGTTTTCACTGTCTAGTCTAATCCCACTGACGATTAAAAGTTGTACAAACAGTGAGTTTTCGGGAAACGGCGTGCCCGTGGCGTGGCGTCCAAAATCAATGATTCGCCATGAAACAGGAAGTTGTTGTAACTTCAGTCTACATGCTCACAGCTGCACCAAACCAAATGCAAGGGACCCGCCCAACGCTGCTTGCAGCTTTAATTAGAGTAGTTATTATTTATTATCCCCTTGTGATGTGAAAACAGACTGAAATATTATTTGATTTGACAGTCCGGTGTTGACTAAAAACACATGTTAATACAACTATACATTATGGCACTGAAAGATAACGCAAGTTAGTCGTTTTGAGGTTCCAGACCTTTGCTTCGGGAAATTTTCTCTAACTGGACCTCTTTGAATTCTAACTGAATACCTAGTGCTTACAGCCTTACAGCATTAGCTAGCAACCACACAAACTGGCAGCCACAGAGACAAACAGACCTCAAGGACCACAGGGAGGCTCTGAGAATACCTCAGAGACAACGAGTGTTTGTAGGATCAGCTTCTCTACTTGGCTTCGGGCTTCCTCATATGGCTCCAAGCTCTTTTTGACAATTAAAGGCACTCCTGCCTCTTGACAAAACAGTTAGGCCTACCTGTTCGAACAAGCATTTTAACTTAGGGGGCACTTGTCAAAATCTAATGAACACTTCAGGCTAGTTTTCATGCATTTAAACAATAATGTAATGTAATGTTCCCATGATCTCTTTCTACCACTAGTGTGTAATCGAGCAGGCTGCAATAACTCAAAAATCATATAATACATCATGTAATAAGTGATTCATGTTGTCTGTGCCGAATTTATCACAACGCTCTATCCTTTTTTTACTAAGTGTGCATGTAACAGGTGAAGGAGAAAACAGTGAAAATACACACTCTCTGGATCGTGAAGGCCCTGCGCCAGGTTGTAAGAAACAGCCCTGTGTCTAAACTCCTGGAGGGTTTGTCCTTAAAATCACAGATTCCATCTGCAAATCACAACATTCAGCCTCCTCCACCCGTGTGTCGCACAGGAGCGACGCAGCAGCGTCAGGCTGACGCACTGGCGGTGCACTAAACAATAATGATGACACGTCCGGTCACTGGCTCACCGTTAAATGTAGCGTTAGCCTAAACCCTGGTTAGATGCATGACATAACGACATGTTGCACACGGCTGATGAGACGGGCCCGCTATTTGATATGACTGCAAAATTAACTGCTCATACGCTGAGACGTCGTGCGTCACACGACAGGTGAAACATCTTAACAAGCTAAAGTGCTTGAGCCATAAAACAGCTGCTGACTTCCACGGATGTCCCTGTATGTGAGCGGCGGGCTAACGTTAGGCAGCTAGCGTCCCGTTGTACCGGTAATCCCCCGGAGAGGAGCAGGTCGCTTACCGCAGCGCTCCGTACGCCCGTGTGTCGTGTGTCTGCGCTCCTTACGGTTCCAGCAAGACAACGTTATCACAGCACCATGCGTAACTCAGCTGCTCACGGCAAAGAACAGAAAGCAGCACAATATTAAGAATAGTTTTTCAGCTGGCTATCTGTTATTATACTATGACAGACGAAGGAAAAGTCGTCAGGTGATGTTTCCATGAAGCATCATCTGATTCTCCAGAGTGGTAAAAATGTTGTCGTTGGAAAATTAAGGCTTATTGAAGCGCTCCGTGTAATCCGGCTGCAGTGAGAGTCAGAAAGCTACAGGCTTCAGCATCCGAGACCAAGAAAACACAGTCACACCGACAGCTTCCGGTCTCAGCTTTCAAAGTAAAGATCCGTCTTTACTCAGAGACGCTGCGAGTGCGCGCCGTGGTACACATTTCACCACAGTAATGTCAGTAAAGTCCCATTTGGGTCATTTCAGAATTGGAGGGCATTTTCTGTACAACAATAAAGCCTTAAACTGAAAAGATACTTGCCTGATTTTCTAAATGTTTGCATCTGTGACCGTGACAAGCGCCCGACCGGCGCTTTACTGCGTAACTGCGCGCGCACAGCCTGGATGACAGGGCAGTTCGGTTAATGAAGCAAAGTGCGGATAACAGACGGCTGAAGGTATGAATGGAAATTAAAGGTACATTAGATGGACCCACCCCTGCTGCCTTCAGCTAGAAGTAACAGCAGCACAAAGAAAAGTCTGTAATATTGAGGCGCTTTGCTGCTCCGGCCTACAGCAACTTCTTTCCTTCTCCCTCAACACTTAGGATACATTCTGGACTGTGTGAGTGATTGAGCCAGATCCGAAATCGCCTGAGCCAGGAAGGCAATGCGAAATAAAGGGGGAGCAAAACATAGCTTTTGAAATGAAATGTTTATAACGCCTCCGCTGCTTTAACCTCACCACAAATCCACACAGGTTCAAGTGCAGCTTCAGGTGGAGCAGAGAGGACGGACACAGAGGAGCTGCAGCTGAAAAATCCTTCTGAGATCCTTTTCCAGCCCAGGGCTAAGGACGCCGCTGGACCCACCCATTCAATTTCAAATAATACATGTGCAAAATACTAAAACAAGCACTTGTTGTGTGAATCATACTTTGTCCTGAGACGGAAAGTAAATGGCTCCAAAATATTATCTAGAACGCAAAAAGCTTTCCAGCACCAACTAAAATGACATTTTTATCTTGTCCCACCTTCTTTATGACCAATTTGCGTGTCAAATATAAGTTAAAATAAGTTTTAAATCTACTTTTTTAATATAAATTTCTTGATATGTCACTTTTTGAAATCATCAAAATATTTTAAATAATAGTATTTATGCACAGAAGATGACACAGTGGAATTGACACCACCAAGACATTTGCTAGCACCACGGGTGACCCAAAGGTAAGTAACAGGGTTGCATCGTCTTTAGTGCACCCAGATGGGACAGTCTAATATCTATAATAACATTAAATATATGTATAATTTTGTTTTAAATGTATTACCATATTTTCGAGAATAAATTGCCAATATTTTTATTTTATTGCGGCAGGTTTAGGTCTCATCAAATACCTGGATGGGATTATTGAGCCACCTGGACATCAGAGCCGTGATAGTCTGATCAGCCACGTGAACAACATCTGAACAAATCAGCTTTCTTAAATATTGATCAGTTCATGAGTGTTTTTGATAACTCGTTAATTATAAATATCTTTACTAAATGGTAAAGGATTTATTAAACAAATATTTTAAAATATACTTTTAGAGGCTCCTGAGTATTGATAACAGGGTTGTGCAAAGCACAGCACACACCAAATAAAACATCTAATAAATAAAACACCTTTGATGCCTGAGCTGGACGAATCTATTTATTTTATGGTGTATTAGCTGTTTTTCTTATGTGTATATATATATATATATATATATATATATATATATATATATATATATTAATGCTTTTAAACTTTAAAATACTTGCTAGAAGTTTTATTTCTGTATATAATTGTATACTTTTTGTTTATAACGTTTGCTTTTTGTGAGCAGCACAAAGGGAACTCGATCACTTTGTACAACACTGTGTTGTAAAAGCACAAATAAATCTAGCATGTCCCTTCATTTGAAACAGAAGTCGTCTCACTTGCGGTATCATCGTGGCTAAATCTGTGTGCCTTGACGCTTCTGGCCCATAATGACCGTGATCAGCGGAATTGCAGAAACCCAACGGAGCTGAGAACGAACCAATGAGAGGCCCAGGTATCAGACTGACGTCCCATTAACGAATCAGAGTGAAATGTTTTAAAATCCCGCCCACTGGACCAGAAAGTCCCGCCTCTGATCCACTGTGAGGTAATAAATTACACTTCTATACAATCTCACCTTCTATCTTTGCAACCAGTGGAGTCGCCCCCTGCTGGCCTTTGCAGGAAAGAAGAGTGCAGGTTTAATGCACTTGTGCATTGGCTTCACCTTCCTTTTGCTCTGAGAGCAAAAACAGAGAGACTATGTTAAGTTAGGTCATTTAAAATAAGACAAAGTGGGCAGAGCATGTGGGAGGGATGTGGGCGGTGCAAACTAACCCCTTCCTTCTTCATACATCACAGAACCACATTTTGAAAGATTTTATTTAAAATGTTACAAACTTTGTCTTGTAGGAGACGACTTAGCACACTGTAAAAAACATTATTCTGTTGGTCCTCTGCGGCTCTACGCGAGGTTTGCATATTTTTCAGAAGGGAAACTTCTTGTGATTTTTTTGGAGTGTGCGTTCTTTTTCTCTCTTTATGTCTTCCTCCTCACAACGGATATTCCCTCCACAGGCTGAAAGACAAAGAACACAAATTAAAGGCAACTTTATTAATACCAATATGTTAGGGCAGAATATCAATCCACATTTTTCAGCATTACATGAACCTAAATTAAACACAAAAAAACAGTAATAATTATGATGTATTGTAAGTCTCTAAAATGTAAAGGAGAGGACAAATCCAAGCAGGTGTTCACTGGAAGCTTTCAAATTCAAATTAGCTTTATTGGCATGAATGTGTAGCAACAATATTGCCAAAGCTAAGTATAAAGTACATAAGGACAATTACTTTCATAAATTTCATTAGATAAGGAAATAAAACAGCAAAAGTTGTGTTTGTGTGTTTTAATACAAAATAAAATAATAACAATAAAAAAAGTTAAAAAATTGTGTAAAAATAAATATTTTAAAAAAGTAAAGAAAAAATATTAAGCGTGTGTGTTAAAAAATAAAAATATATTTAAATGAAAATAAAGCATGTGTGTGAGTTAAAAAAATATATATTAAAAATTAAAATAGATACACAGTACACAGTAACGTGTGTGCGTTATAATAATATGTAAAAAATTTAAATAAAATAAATAGATAAAACTGTAAACATGTGTGTGTATATTCATTTTGGGCTCAGGGCTACAAACACATTTCGGTTGCTACTAAGAAAGAGCTGAGGCTGACATGCATGTCTGCCACGTATCTCAGCTTCTGAACTGGATTGGATTATTTGTTAGCGGAGTCCCCCCCCCCCCCCCCCTGTTCACAGAAAACAAGATGGCTGACATCACACATAAATAAAGGTGACAGGTCTGTTTTACTAAAGCATTTTCATGCAAAGCTGCTCCTGACTTTGTTATTGAGATGGGCCAAACAGCTGCAGTTATCTCACACCGGAGAGCGTTCTGCAGTGCAGTGATTTATTGAACGGCAGGCAGATAAGAAATCTGGTTTATAAATTAGGGAAACCTGTGTCCTTGGCCATGTACACGTAGGGAAAATAAACGCTATGATGCCTTTTTTCCCCCTGCAGTAACCTGATGTCTCCCAGTAACCTGTTCTTTGTGTGGATGTGGACGCAGTGTGGGAGTTAATGCAAAGTAAGCGTAAGTAAGTGCGGTATTTTCAAATACTCTGGGGACACCAACAAACCCCTTCCTGCTTTGCAGATGTGTATGTGTGACGACTCTGCCTGCCTGTGCGTCTTCTCTGTTTTGCAGATGCTGGGTGTGGCTTGTAGGTGGAGCTGGGAGGGTTCAATGCGAGTACCCGCCCCTCTGGGAGTCAGTCTCTCTGCTGTCCTGCTGCTTCAACCTCAGCCTTTGCTCCTTTGCTTAATTTGCTGCACCCGCCAACATGCATTTTCATTCTCACTCATCCACACACTTCTGACATGACTGATGTTCCTCGTATCTACCCACGCCATCAACTTAGTTCATTTGTTTGTTAGTTTGAGTGAAATAGTTTGAGTTACCTAAAGTTGTACTTGGAGTCCGTGTGTGTTTGCAGCAGCAGGTCTCTGACCTCCTCAGGTGGATTCAGACCATGAAGTTGTGCTCGCTCCCATCGCTGCAGCCTGCTGATTCCTGCAAAGAGAGACACGACATGATAAATGACTCAGGTGTGAATTCACAAAAGGATTGCATGGCTTCTGTGGCTGTACACCTGCACAGCTGAGATCAGGAAATCGTGTTATACCGGCGCTGCCAAGCAGACGGCGTGTCGTGGCTCCGGCGCCATTTGCAAAATTGTCCTCTTACTATGTAAAAGAGCCTTATTGCAAAAGAAGTCCAATTCACATACAGCAGCGTTAATATCCACGTGCAGTGAGAATGAATTTATTAGCATCTTCAGAGAGTTGGTGTCTTTCCAGGCAGTAGATCATCTGGCACAGACAGATACAATACCTGATATTCACCACCAGGGAATGAAAATAAAACATGAAACCTACGGCTGCGAGAAGCGAAGACGCTGCAACTGGACGTGGTTGAAGATATAATTAGAATATGCGCTCTTTGAAATCAAACATTTTAAGATAAGAGTGATAAGGAAAGCTTCGTTCTTGTTGTATAACTTTTATACATGTTGTATAACCATGTCGTGTGCTACGCTACTACGCTACATCGCTAGTACACCTTAACAAATATTTTTGGGACCACTAGAGAATTGAACATTTAACAGACGCAAAACAAGGACAAACTGCACTCAGCTGCAAAACCTCAGTGTGTGCGTGGTCAAAACCTGTTTTTGGACCACTTTAACTTCAACCTCCCAAAAAGAGCAGACCCAGACGTAATGTAGAAAGCAGCTGATATGCTGCTTTGTGCATCGAGATGTCAGGTGAGGAAACACAGACTGTAGACAAACATGGACATAATGGCTGCGGTATCACCCACAGCTTTATGAAGCGGGACATTTTACAGCCTGGAGTTCTTGGTGCTAGGCTAGTAGTTTCCTCCTGCTAGGCTAAGATCTATCTCTGGAGTGGGAGTGCAGACACAGAAATTTAAGTAATAGTGATCTTATCTGACTCTGAGTAAGACATTCCTGAAAATTCCAGACTGTTCTTGTTTGCCGGCAGCTACGCCAATGTAAACCCTGCTTCTGCTGAATGACTGAAGCTAAGCAGGTTTGGGAACCGGAGGGTCGCCGGTTCGAATCCAGCTCGGACCAGAGTTGCGGAGTGTGGACTGGTAGCTGGAGAGGTGCCAGTTCACCTCGTGGGCACTGGAGCAAGCCCCCGAACCCCTCAGATCTCACTCTCCGTGTGTTGCTGTGGGTCCTGTTTGGGCATGAGTTTCGGACCTGTGTGTAAACACTAACAATAATAACAGAGTGCAGTTAATTAAGTATTTCTTCTTCTTCTCTGCATGTCTTTTGGTGAGATGCTTTGCTAAGTTGGACATGTTGCCTCGCTTGGTCTGCGTGGACTTTTAGACTGCATTTACTTTTTTGCGACATTGCAAAAGTCTACTTAAAATCCGCATGACAATTAGATGGAAACACAGCTACCGTCATTCTTCAAGTATTCGGACCAATAAAAGGCAGTACTGTATCGTTTTTAACGTTTACCGTGCAACACTACCTGCTAGGGGTGGAAATTAAGCGCCAAATACGGGTGGATTTTACATTTGGTGGCTAAATATTGGAAGGCTACCCGGCACACTGCAGGGTAAATGTTTTGGGGATGATATCTCCATGTAATATCTATTTGACGGTAATTAACAGCAGCCACACGTTCCCGTTTGTTATGTGTCACACTTAGATTGGTCCCTGCTGTACCCAGGGATCTAAAATGGTGTAACACGCAGATTATGGGGGTTCGTTCATTGGTTGTTGTTTATGTTCGTTTCGTGTTACTTGTGTTTGATCGGTGTAGATTTGAAGGAGGTGGCGGGAAAGAGGGGAGAGTGTAGCCACTTTCATATAAACATCCCGCAAAAAAGCACAGAAAAACATCCGCCAAATGCCGCATTCGCAAACGTTTGCGGCACAATCTGCAGCCATGTGTGCACAGAGCGCTCCGGAAAATAAGACGGTGTGAAAGCCGCTTGTGTTAGGAGCCACAACGTCGTGCTTGGAGTGTTTTTAGCATTTAGCAAGCTGGCTAGCTACCACCGTAATGTGGCGACATTTACCAAGTGTAGTAACCAAACCAACTAAATAAACAACATAAACAAATTTTTAAAAACGCAGACGAAAAGGAGAAAAAATAAAGTTGGCAGTCCAGTCTAGTGTCTGATACCCAGTCAGATCTTCTTATGGTCCAGCTGTCCTCCCCAGAGATAAAGTAATATTCTGTATTATTATAATAACACACGTTAATGTGTCATTTATTTTATTTTTATTTTATTAACACACACACACACACACACACACACACTTATTGTTTTACTTATTTACTTTTTTAAATATTCTTTTTTTACACACACAACCACAACTTTTGCAGTTTTATTTCCTTATCTAATGAAATGTATGAAATGAATTGTCCTTTATATATATGTAGCTTTGGCAATATTGTTATTTGAATTTGATAAAGGAATATGATTTATAGACTGTATAAAAAATGTTGCACACTGTGTCAGTCAGAACCAGGAGGCCAGACTGTGCAAAGAGGTTGATTGTAGAAAGTGATGGGATTTAATTTGATAATTAATTTAATAAGCATCTTGTAAGTTTAGAAAACAATTTACTGTTAATATCTTAATATAATTTTGCTTCAAATGTCACTCTGGGCTCTTCTTTAAATTTGTATTCGACATAATATATTATTAAAATAAAAAGACAGAAAAAAATGGATATGTGATACAAAAATAATTTATTATTTTGGCCGGTAAAAAATTTCCACCTACTAGTGAACAATATTTAAGTTAATACTGCTCTATCCATCTCTGTTATTATGCCAAAGCCAGATGTTCTACAGCCTGTACATGTGTAGGAATGTTACCCGTGCAGGGCCCGAATCTCCAGTCCAGATCGAACTGTCTGAGCCTCTGGAGCCTCTCCTCTGGTTCACTTTCAGCTCCTATAACAAGATTTAACACGACAAAGTATCAGACAAATATAACACTGCTCTGACATTAATAATAATTCAACGTTTCAAACAAAAATCCTTCTAACGTTAACCAAACAAATGCTACAATAACACTTCCTTATTCATAACGCTCCTTTCCATATTGCTGTTTTAGCCTTTTGCACAGTTTCGTAGATGCTGACTGAGACGTCATGTTGCAAACAGTGAACGCCCGTCTCACTGAGGCGGCATCAGCCCTGCTCTTCACCTTGCTGTGGCGGCGGCGGAGGAGGAGGCCTCTTCTCTCGTTTCCCCTCCTTCTTTGCTTTCTTCACCACCTTGAATGAATCAGTTATCAGTCCGCGCTTGGTTGTCATGGTCACTGATCTACAACATACACAGACACACTGGGTAAGTGATAACAGAGCCTCAATATCAGTGAGTTTGGCCATTTTTTCCACTCAAATAATCAATTCTGAAATGATGTTAACAAATTAGCACGAGAAAATCACCTCATCATCTTTCTCTCTACAAAAATAAGTGTTATCTTCTTCCAAATAGAAGCTTCTTTGCAGCTCCATTAACAGTGCCTTCATTTAACCATGTTTAAACTGAACAACAGCGCAGGATAAAACACCCAGTATCCAGTTCAACCACCTCGTAATGCAAGGTGGAGATCACCGCTGCAATTAAATCATTCGCATTTATTCAAATCAGAGTTGCTATTATTGGAACGCAGTCAGATGTGACTTGCAAATAAAATGTATGCAGTAGTCTTAAAGGATATCAGAAGAGGAAACAAACAGAAAACCTAAATCTGAGTCTCCACTTAGATGCGAGGTACATCATTTCAACTTCCCTGAAACATTTAGCCAAATACATCCAAAGACACCATGATCATACTCTGGGTTATTCAATAACTAGAATGCAGATAATATCAGCACGTTTCGGATTAAAGGACGTCTCATGTCACTAACGTACCGACACTGCTATGGGGAGTTTATGCTTTTCCTCAAAGCAACAAGAGACATTGTGACTGCGCCTTACGTGATTTCATACTGGACAGTGGAACAGAGTGTGTGCCTTGGGATAAATTGATTCACTGGTTCTACCCACTAAAGTCTTTCTTTAAAAGATATAAACTGAATATTGAAATTGTTCATTCTGTAAAGCTGCAGAGGAACATGTGTCCCATTTATATTGGAACTAGAAGGAGTTCATTCAGACTCTTAATATTTTGTTTTAAGGATGTTTTCTTCTGTGTTTTTAATTTCAGGGAGGATAAAAAAAAAGGATTATATTTCATAACAAATCTGTTATTCTTACTTTCCAAATTCCATATCCACAAATGTAAATGTACTGGTTCTAAACCATTCTTCCCCGTCTGTATGAGTGAACTAGATGCATATATGGACTCAAAGGACAACTATATTCAACACTTACGACCTCATGGAAGTGACTGATGCTGGAACTCGAGAACTCAAGTTGGTGCCTTAACCTGGACTTTCTCGCCAGGATAGGGCTGGACGATACGGGCAAAAATGTTATCACGATAAAAAAAAGTTTCATATCTTTCGATATCGATAATTATCATGATAAATATCAAATTGTTCATTTTTTTGAGTTTAAAGGCAGATTTTTGCTCCTGAGTGAAAGTTGAAGAAACCTGATGGTTATTGTGGTTTTAAACTTTTCTTTGTGGTCAACACTTGAGGCCAAACAGCGGATCACTTCACAAATCTGAGGTAGAACATTCAAAGCAATTATGATAAAATCTCTGTCAACAAATATGCACGAGTAAAATTAAGTAAAAGATTTTTTCAGTCCTTTTTCCTCAACAAAATAAAAATCTTAATAAAAAAATTAATCCTAACTAGTGTATTAATCAAGTGAATAAAATCAAACATATACTGAATATTTATTGAACATTTGTTATATTGTTATTGAAAAAATGATATTGTGATAATTATTATTATTGTTTTATTGTCCAGCCCTACCCCTGGTAAATAAAATGTCGTTATACAGTATGTTGTGTCATTTTATGTTGTATGTACAGTCCCCTCCAAAAGTCTTGGAACGGTGAGGCGAGTTCTTTTGTTTTTGTTGTTCACTGAAGACATTTGGGTTTAAGATCAAAAGATGAGACAAGAGTTCAGAATTTCAGCTCTCATTTCCTGGTGTTCACGTCTAGATGTGTTAAACAACTCAGGACAAACCACCGTTTGTTTGAAGCCGCCCATTTTTCAAGTGAGCAAAACTATTGGATCATGTGACTGCCAGATGTTTCTTGTTTAGACTGGCCAAGTCAATCAGCTGACCGTAACCCAACAGAGCATGCATTTCACCAAAGGGAGAAACACCCCGAAACTAACGAGAACTGAAAGAAGCTGCGGTAAAAGCCTGGAATAGCATCACAACAGTTTGGTGATGTCGATGGGTCAAAGGCTTGAGGCACTTATTGCAAGCAAGGGTTAAAATATTAAATATTATTTACTTTAAGATTATTTGTTCCTTTACTTTTGCTCACCTAAGAAAGCTGTGGTCTAAAACAAACGGTGGTTTGTCCTGAGTTGTTTAACACAACTAGACGTGAACACCAGGAAATGAGAGCTGAAATTCTGAACTCTCGTCTCATCTTTTGATCTTAAACCCAAATGTCTTCAGTGAACAACAAAAACAAAAGAACTCGCCTCACCGTTCTGAGACTTTTGGAGGGGACTGTATATGATGACCTTCTCAATAAAGTCAAGTAAAAAAAAAATAAAAGGCCCCAACATATTCCCCGGTGGGCAGGAAACGTGGGGCGAGTTCAGCGCCGACAAAACGGAAAGGGCGGTTCCCTGAACACCCTGCTGCGAACGCAAGCGCACTGCATTTTCCTGCCTTTTTAACACCGCTGTGTTTACAAACTGGTCGCAGCTGATTTGGCAACACCTGCGATGCGCCCACCACCGTTTCCGTTGAAAAAAAAAAAAACAAACCCCGCTTTGCTACGTTTTGTCGGCGCTGAACTCGCCCATGGTGAATGGTAAACCATGAAGTAAAGAATTAAATTAAAATAATACATACTAGGATCAAATAGAAAAACCTGTTCTGCCTGTAAATTGATGTAGAAATATTTTGTCAATGTTATTAGGCAGCTGCTTACAGTAAACAATCTCTGAAAGTCATCTTCTCTGCACAAAGGTTAGTCAGGAAAATGTTAAAAATGCCCAGAAATGTGAAAACATTTGGAAATATATCCTAAAACTTTTGCTGACTTTTGAGGATTACCAAAGTTTGGGAAAGTTGGAAATACATTCACAAAGTGCAACGCCGAAAACACATAATGCAGAAATATTCAATAACTTCACACTTATACAATGTAGTGCCCCCAAAATCACCTCGTACATCAATGATCTCCTGCTGGTGATACTACAACACTAGATTTGTAATAAAAATATAGTTTTGCATAATTTGGGGGAATTTTAATATTCAGTGACTTCACTGTTAAAGGCTGCAGTGTCTCCACTTTTCCACAATTCCCGAATCTGTGAATGTATTTCCAACTTTACCGAACTGATTACCAGCAGATGTAGCTAGAAGGATACAGTAACGTATATTTATTACTTGTTTTTAATACAACGGTCATCCTTTCAATGAACACCGAGTGCAGAAACCTGCCAGAGAAACACAAGTTTGTCGGTCCGACATGTTTACTGTTTTTATTTGCCGTCATGCACCACCATGCACCACCATGCTCCACCATGCACCACCATGCACCACCATGCACCACCATGCACCACCACGCCCCACCGTGCTCCACCACCATGCACCACCACGCACCACCATGCACCACCACGCCCCACCGTGCACCACCACGCCCCACCGTGCTCCACCACCATGCACCACCATGCACCCCCACCATCCACCACACCACCATGCCCCACCATGCACCACCACCACGCCCCACCGTGCTCCACCACCATGCACCACCACGCCCCACCATGCACCACCACGCCCCACCGTGCTCCACCACCACGCACCACCATGCACCACCATGCACCACCATGCTCCACCACACCCCACCGTGCTCCACCACCACGCACCACCATGCTCCACCACACCCCACCGTGCTCCACCACCATGCTCCACCACACCCCACCGTGCTCCACCACCACCACCACCGTGCTCCACCACCATGCTCCACCATGCACCACCGTGCTCCACCACCATGCTCCACCATGCACCACCGTGCCCCACCGTGCTCCACCACCATGCAGCACCACGCTCCACCATGCTCGGTCTGGGACGCGAGAGGCCCCCCCCATGTCACACGACATTAGCTGCGTCTGAAAAGTCTTTTCTGCTCAGGAAGGTTCAGACTGAGTGAAGTGACCCGGAGGTTTTTCAGCGGCAGCCGTGGTGAGAGCTGGTCCAGTTCTCTAAAAGCTGAGGAAAGGAGCTTCAATGCTTCCTTTCATATGTCCTTCAGCATAGGGTACACCGGACCGTCCTTTATGAAAGGAGAGGAGGAAACGCCGTCCCACAATTCCTTGCGGCGGCAACATTTAAAGCGGCGCACGTTCTCAAACTGAAACGATAAAATCCATCAACCACATTTAGCAAAATCCTGCAACACAGAACTCAGACAGTTTCCTTCTTTCTTTTGGCTTTTCTGTAATCTGAAGCTGTTTCAACAACGTTTTATGTTTCGGGTTGTTGAAATAAGCCATTAAGTGTTTTCTACAATAATAAATAATAATAAATCACGGACCATGACGGATAAAGGATGTTGATCAGCGACTACTAAGCCTTTTCTCTCTTATGGCCTTTATCTTAAACTCTCCACAATACCTGAGACCCGTGAGCTGTTACTGGTCTTGTCACGTGATCAAAGTGAGGATGACGTTGCAGCGTGCAGCCTCACGTCATGTCCCGCAGCCTTCAGTCCCAGATGCTGACACCCCGGCCTCCATCAAGGCAAAGATCCAGCTGGACGACCTCTACAGGAGGCGTTTCCCACACACTGATTTATTTGTGGCGGCCTGACACATTATCAAGGCTGATTTAACTTTGATTTAGTTTCTATTTAAAATGGGTCAAATCCTATTTGTATACGCTGTCATTCAGAGGGAAACACTGTGTTTACAGGCAGGAGGGGCAGCGTCTCCATGTGACAACCTGTCCGTTATTTAGTGACCGGCAGGAACCTTATCTGCCTTTTTGCGGGGCGCAGAGTCAAAGACGCGCTTTTTGTAGTCCATCTTCGGAACATTGTAGTTTCACGTCAGTAACATTCACGGTCGCGTAATTACGTCGCTTAGAAAAGAGCAGTCGGATCCTCTGAGCCCCTCTTTTCCTGAGTCCTTACGGATTCTCCTTCACACCTTTCCTTGACCTCGTGACGTTTCATCATCGAGGTCAAGGAAAGGAAGTTAGGAAAGGAGATGTTTTTGACTTTTCGGACGCAGCCAGTTGTATTTTGGCTGGACGGACCACAGACTGAATATAAAAAGGGACGGACGGAACATCAACAACCATTAATCAGCCAGTACAACTTTACAGTGGGCTCAATAAGGATCGTGCATTCAGCTTCAGGTGACTCATCATGTCCACTGATCGATAACAGAGGCTGCAGGAAATAATTACAAGCTCGCGATAAAAACAATATATCCGTGTTTCAGCGTGTGCAACTTCAGCTGAAGGTTTCAGCCTTATGCGACTGTTAAATTTCAATACGAGTCTCTGAACTTACCTCGTTATTCAACAATAAAAAAACGCCCCAGTCTTTTCTCTTCATTCAATCTGCAGCGAAAGCAGCCGAGCAAAACAACGACGACGGTTTCTTCTTCTGTCTCTACGGTGGACTCCAGACTACAGGCTCCTTTCCTGCCCCTGCTGCTGGTAGTGCAGATTACAGCTAAGCACTACAGTTCTTAGTAATAACGAAACTGAAAGCATTTGTCATTCATGTTGTGTTTGTTCATGAACCAAATTATTTTGGATAGATTTCGATTATTTATTTAAGACCATGACTTTAGATATTTAGGAAAAATAAAGATTATAGGCTAATCTTTTAAGCCTGAGCCCATATACGTATTTGAACCTCTTTGTCTTAAATGAAAAATATTACATTTAGCTGACGCTTGTATCCAAAGCAACTTACAATTGTTATACATGTCAGAGGTCAGAGGTCACACGCCTCTGGAGCAACGAGGGGTTCAGTGTTAAGCCATCACCTAACACCCATTCACAAATACAACATTTCAAAATAAATCATACATTGGCCTACTGTGAAGCATCATACAGTCAGAAGAATTTAAGACTAAATATTTTTCTTTGCTTGTCCGTGATGCCCCTGTGAATACAGCTGTGCCCTGTTCTATTATTCTGTCTTTTAATTTAGGCTATTTTGTTTTGGCTGAAGATTCAGCAAAAACTGCTGGATGAAAACTCACCGAAATTCGCACGTAGGTTGTAAATTTTACCCACTACTCAGGCAAAAAAACCCAAAAAAGGCCCTGATAGACCTCATGGTGGCGCTATAACAATCAACTTTCAGCGTTTTTGCAATTATCTCGAAAAAACGGCTTAGTTTAGAGTCAAACTTCCTTCATTATTTTAATCTCTGGATTCATTTGCATATTTGCTCCAATGGTTTTCTGCTCTAAAAATGTCAAATTAAACAACTTTTTATCACTTTTCTCCAAAACCTATTTTGAGAGCTCTAAGTATAATGTGGTCTACATGCGAAAAAAAGCAGGGAAATCATCCTTTAAAACATTTTCACAAATTAAATAAAGGTTTCACAAATCTGAAACTATGTTTGATTGAAACTTTAGCCTCTCTGGGACAATCTAGTCCAGATTTGAGAGCTCTAGGTAAAGTGGTTTTTGATCTGGACCTGGTCTAATGTGGTCTACACATGAAAAAAGCACAAAAATCGTCACTTAAAGTATTTTCACAAATTAAATAAAGGTTTCACAAATCTGAAACTATGTTTGATTGAAAGTTTAGCCTTTAGCCTAGACAAGACAGAAACACCAGGTATATATACACACAGGGACTAACGAGCAGGGCGGGAGCAACACAGGTGACAGACATGAGGCTAAGTTAATAATTTAACACCCTGCATCCATCACAAGTCTTAAAAAAAAGAAAAACCAAATTCACCGACTGGACTGATGGAGACGCACCCGTCGTTTCAGGGAAGATGACCCACAAGAGGAAACAACAAACTGTAACAACAACAAATCTCTTTTCACTCTTCACGAGTCCAATAAATGTCCAGGAGTTGTCCTTGGATGGGACACAATAACAGGAAATCCAATAAAACCTATCAATCAAACACGATCACAGAGCCGACCAGCTTCTCTCACAGCGTCTTCACAGAGGTCAATATGTGCTGCAGGGCTCGTGTAGGGGATCAAACTACATTCATATATATTAACCCAAAACACCAAGAATAAGAAACCTGTCACACAGAGAGCAGCGTGAGCCGGTGGTTTGCAGACGAGAGGATGACCAATGACTGTAATAATGAGAAATTGATTTCTGATTCAGCAAAAACAAACAAAAAAATTCTATCTGTAGTGCAATTACGGACCATTGGTAAGCTGTTGGTCTGGAAACGTTTTAACCATTTCAAACTGCTGTGCTTGTAGAACATGTTAAAGCCTCTCTGGTCCAGAGTCTAAGAACTCAACAACTATTTAATGGATTGTTGTGGATTTTGGTTCAGACAGTCATGAGGGTGAGTTTGATGGTCCTCTGTGTTTTCTTCTAGCGGCAACAACAGTCAGCGTCTTCACTTATCCTGTGAACACTTCATGCATACAGACATGTTCACTAATCACTCTTGACATTTTGTTTTTAGTGAAATGCCTTCAGATCCAATAGATTATTATGCAAATACACTGAACTGGAGGAGCAGGGAGGCCTGTTCCAGGAGCCTTTCAGCAGGTAAAAACAGTATCTCTCTGTAACCTGGTCTGCAGAAAACAAACTTGCTGAATTTCACGGGAGGATTTCAGGGTTTTTAGAGATGAGAAAATGTTTTCCATTCCTCTCTCATGAGTTCCAGCTGCTTCTCTCGGCCAGCTCCTCTGGCACCTTCCACAACATAAAAGTGACCGAGTTAAAGTGGGTCTTTAATGTGTAAGAGCGCCTTTAAAACGGGAGCGTGACAGCAGGTTTTTTCCGATATTTTTCCCTCCCTCACCTCCTCACTGGGTTTCAGTTCAAAGAGCAATCAGAAGCACATAAATAAGAATCACTACATCATCTTTAAAGCCGCAGATCAAAGCAGAGAAACAAGGTTTTGTCCTCTGTCTGTAATTTGCTCTAACTTAACTTGCACTTGGAGCAACTTGGAGATTTTCTGGGCTTCATCCAGGCTGATTTCACTATTTTTAGACTACATATTTAAAGTTAGTATGTTGCTGCCATGAGCTGCGAGATCTTCTGAGCTCTGGGCAAAGAAAGAGAAAGGTTTATAAAGAAAATGAGATTGTTATCTTGTAAAACTTCCCTCCCAGGTTAAGGTTTAAAAGATAAGTGTGAAGATATTTTATATTTTTCTTCTTGTCAATAAACATGAAAAGCCCAAAACCACCACGAACACACACACTCTAGTTTACTCTGACTCAGTCCCACACACGCCGTCCTGCTGCCTGCACCACATGCGGGTTCATCCGCCGCTGAAAACAGATGCACTACTTCCTCCTGTTTCTCTGAGCCTTTTAAAACAGGTGAGGTGTTTTTAAAGTATTTACGTCTTCAGGAGGAACCGATGGGCTCAGAGCTGAGAGAGCAAGACAGGAAGTGAGACATGTTGGTTTGAGTCTAATCGTGGGGTTGATTGATAAGATTTTTACTCCGTCAGTGTGAAGGCTTTAAACAAAATTTCCACCTTCATGTAGGTAAATAAAATTACAGTAAAGAACATATACTTGTAATAAAACAATTAGATCCATAGAATATCACCGGTAAACTGTGAAACTGAGACGCACGTGAGTTTATTTGTGAATCATTGTTAGATCTGTGCTGCTGGAAACAGCTTTGGTCTTGTGAAACGTTTACAGCTCAAACTGTGACGCTGCCTTTTCATCGATACTTTTGACAGCTGCACTGGTTTATTGATTAATTTGCTGTGACCTCAATCAGCCAAACATTAAATCAATCAGCTATAATTTAATATCCTGCGTCAGGATCACACGGTGGTTCGTCCGTCAGTCCTCCGTGTTTCCGTCTTTCATCACTAAACTGGTTTTGAATTAGAAACCCTCAGAGGGAGTAAATGTCAGTCCACTTTTTCCTCAGCAGGTTTCTGTTTGAGCGCCGCCTCCGAGCGCACGGCGTTCTTCATGGCTTTCTGCATCAGCCAGGTGACCACGTGGACGGTGAGGAACGCCCCGCCGGCCGCCCACAGCCAGTTCCTCCTGAGCCAGCTCTGAGGCTTCATCCTGACACCTCTGCAGAAGTGGGGGAGGGCAACAGGTTAGAGAACAGCAAAAACCACCTGCAGGGAGAGACGTTACAGGAGAGCAAGTTCACCAAAGAACACAGAATTATGACATATTAAATATATCTAAGTTAAACATCGCTCTCAATGACGCTCTCTTTTTTCTCTCTGCTGTATTTTTACAAATAAATAGTTTTGGTCCCTTCTGGTCCAACGTGCCAACTGCACCCCGAGATACCAAACTCATCATTTTCAAAGGCGTCTGCCGCATCAGGCTGGTTTGCGTCGTACCGCTTGGCGAGTTTCGTGAACTTTTTTTGTGATGAACTCTGACTCTGTGGTGAACACAGGTGGCCGACAGAAAACGATCATCTGAACCGTTGATGTTGTTTGTGTCATGACAGAAGTTTGTGTTCTTACAAGCCGTATCATGGAACCATATTTCCATTCAAGCAGGCGTCAGGTGCGTTTTAAGTAGCTTGTTGTAGGCGGACGACATGTAGCTTAGGTTTGCAGTGTGAAACAGACACAAGCAGCAGAATCACTGTTGCATGTGTTAAAACCAAAGCCTGTTTTTGCCTCCTCTGCTTCGTGGAAAGGAAACTACTCTCTTATCGGAAAATGCAATATTATAAAGCACCGAGGCTTTTTATTTACAGTATGAGTGAGTTGAACTTGCTTCTTAGCAGGGGACAGATACAGATTTGTTACTGACTCATGGTAAGTTTTAAAAAACTAACATTTTTAATGTTGCTATGGTCTCCAACACAAAGGCTTGTGGTTAGTTTGTCGTGATCACACGGTTTGTATGTCGCTGTTGCTCAGGCATCCTATATCGCTGGGAATGTTGATCTTCTCTACACGGATCAGTGCAGCTCCTGCAGACCGTTTCACAGTTTCCGACAGAAGCAGGACTTTATAAAAGTCAGCGAGTCAGTTTGGACCCGAGCTGTTTCCACAGCAACGCGGTCCAAAGAAACTGCAAGTAGACGAATCTGCTGGATGATTTCTGAGCTGTGTTCTGTCACAGTGAGTATTGGTGAACACAACACAGTCGGCAGTCGACAGTCTGTGCGAACGTGGAAGTTGAAACTGGTTATGATGCAGACTTTGGAGATGAATAACATTAAAGTCTCTGACCTCCACAGTGTGGATGTGAAACTAATCTGAGGTCAGTACTAGCTTATGATTGTAAACAACAAACTTTGGTGAATATGACGTCTCAGTACAGTGAGTTACAGTGAGAGCAACATCTGGTGGACATGAGAGGAACTGCACCTCAGCCTCTGCTCTAAACACTCAGCCGTGGAGGAGGTGGAGGTTGTTTACCAGCTGCAGGTGCAGCAGGGCGAAGATGAGTTTCATACCTCAGTGGGAGTTATTTGCTCTTGGCGGCAGCAGCTGGAGGTGAAACGTAGGCCACGATGCCGGGCTCAGGAACGCTC